CAACCCTGAGATAATCTTTATTCACTTGGGAATAAATGACATCAAGAGGGGGCTAACGTTCCCCACTTTCATAAGAAACTTTAAAAGTATCCTTCGATTGGCCTTAGAAGAAACCAATTGCAAGATATGTTACTCGCTCATAATACCAACACCAGGTAACCCTAACCTCAACACAAAGATTCAAGCTGCCAACCAATATATGGGTGACTTTATAAAATGGCTCAGAGAAGAGAACTACTATGAAGACCGAATATGCACAGTCGGTAATGACAACCTCAGCGGCTACTTGGAGAGATATGTTACAAAAGACGGTGAAGCACTGAGACTTTCGCCCAAGGGTTTAGCTAAACTATGGCTCAGATGCCGAGATGCCCTTAATAGAACGTCAACCCTAACTAGGCAAACTTTACATGAGTTCACCCGAAGCAACGATCATAATGAATAATACAGGGAGCGTAATTGTGGGAAAACTGCAGAGAGACAATAGCAGTAAAGTTGATGAACTATCCCACACCGCAGCACAAAACCATGATCAGGACCTCTCAGTTGTGTCATGGAACATCAATAACATATCTCACCACTCACTAGGAAACAAGACCGAGATTGATGAGTTTCGTGAGATCATCGAGATGTCACCGATATTTTGTCTACAAGAAACAAAGGGAGAAGTAGTGGTGCCCAACTACCGCTGCTTTAACAAAAACAGGGTATCCTCAAGATCAGGAGGCCTATGCATCGGTGTTCAACGGTCGCTCGAAAAGTACATTACCCAAATCGAAACAGGTTCAACAGACATCCAAGCAGTATCCATTTCGAAAACGTACACAAAGGCCGAAAAGAACATCACTCTGATAAACATATACGACTCACCCGAAAATTCCTCTTATAAAGTCAGGATGAAGAGTCTTGGAGTTGAGGAGAATACTCTTGAAGCTCTTCTCCACTTTATCGGAGAGCAACTTGGTCACTCTGACATCATGCTAGTAGGTGACCTAAATGCTCGTACAGGTGGTGTCAACTTCATCCCAGTGACAAAAGACTGGATGAAAAAGAAGAAATCGAATGCACCCAGACCTTGCCGAGCCAGTAAAGATTCTGTACTAAATGAAAGAGGTAATAGATTCCTTGACCTTCTGGGCAGCTGTGACCTCACTCTATTGAACGGCAATGTCATTGGTGACATTTTTGGTGAGCTCACCTGCTATCAGTACAACGGACAAAGTGTCGTTGACTACATAGCAGTTTCACCGAGCATCAGGAATATGGTGAAACGGTTCAAAGTTCTTTCCTTAACTAACCTATCAGATCACAGACCTATCCTCTGTCAACTCTCAGTTAGAATCCAAATGATAGCCGCTGAATTAATTCAAGAGCTTCATCAAGATGCACCTAAAAGACCGAAATGGGATGGAGATGCAACGGCCCAACAGTTTACTGATAATCTTAACAAGGCCGAAATAACAAATCAGCTATTGGATATTTCGACCTCAACTCTTGATACAGTAGAAAACATCTACTCCACGAACAAGAAGTTCGTTCACATTCTTGAAAGCGCACTTTGCACCGATCAACCCTCAAACTGTGCCAATAGTGAGCAAAAGATAAGGTGTTTTTCTAAAAAGAAACGACGCAGTAAACTCCGCCCAAAACAAAAGTGGTTCGATGCTGAGTGCATTACAACTAAGCGAGAGCTTAATATTCTAACAAGGAAGTACGGGAAAAACCCCTCGGACGCCCTTCTACGAATCCGCTTCTACTCTAGGAAGAAGGACTATAAAAAATTGTTAAAAAGGAAAAAGGCTGTTTTCTTCCAAGAGTTAAACCAGGAAATTCTGCAGGAAAATAAGATTTCGTGGAAGAACTTGAAGAAACTGAAGAAGTTTAACGAAAAACCCTCCAAGCTGGACATATTCGACATGGCGAAGTTCTACCAATTCTTTCTGGATCTCTACAAAAAGAAGGATACAAACTTCCCACAGAATAGAACAGTGACTAAAGCAAATGAACAAATAATGAGCATACTAAATGATGAGATATCATCGAAAGAGGTTGTACATGCGGTGAAAACACTTAAGAACGGTAAGGCAGTTGGACTAGATTGTTTACTCAATGAGCAGCTTAAGTCTGCCGCCCAGAACCACTGCGCTCTCTCAGTGTTAGTTAAGCTCTTTAATGGTTGCTTGGACCTTGGTGTCTACCCATGGAACACTACGATTGTGAGCCCACTCCACAAGAAAGGATGTATCTACGACCCCGATAACTACAGAGCCATTGCGATCGGGAGCAACCTTGGTAAACTTTTCGCGACAATCCTTTTGGACCGTTTGCTAAAATTCAGGAAGGAACATTGCCCGGACACAGTAAACCAGCTTGGCTTCTGTAAGAATGCTAGAACTGTGGATCATCTGTTCACCCTTTCCACTTGTGTAGACAAATACGTGAATAACAAAGGACAAAGACTCTATTCTTGTTTCGTGGATTTTCGCAAAGCTTTCGACTCCATCAGTCGTGAAGCTCTTCTGTACAAGCTCTCAACCCTTGGTATAGATGGAAAATTCCTAAAATGTCTAGAACATATGTACAAGAATTCCAAAGCTAAGATCAAGCTGATCGCTAAAATATCAGACTCATTTGATATTCTTGCAGGTACGGAGCAGGGCCACCCAATGAGCCCCGAACTATTCAAAACTTACATCCATGAACTTTCGGAACGACTGAACAGTGTTCAAGACATCTCAAGTCCATTGCTGAATGAAACTATTCTGACCCACCTCTTGTGGGCAGATGATCTTGTCCTCCTCGCACTTTCGAAAGAAAGTCTTCAGGTCATGATCTCTGAACTTGAGTCATTCTGCAGAGAATGGGGGCTCACGGTGAACACCAAGAAAACCGCCATCATGATTTTTAATAAAAGTGGAAGGCAACTCAAAGAGAGTTACGGTTTTCAGTACATGGGAGCAACAATCCCATCAGCGAAAACATATTGCTATTTAGGGATCACCTTCTCACTGTCGGGCAGCTTTAAGACAGCACTAAACCTTCTACGACAAAAAGCTCTCCGGGCATACTTTGGACTGAAAAGTGAAGTAGACCTTAGCAATATATCCAAGGTCGCAGTTCTTAAACTGCTCGACTCCCTCATACTGCCAGTTGTATCGTACGGAGTGGAAGTCTGGATCAGCAGTAGCTCAGGAATTAAGGCTTTTGCCAGCACAACTGACAATACGAAGCAATCCCCACTGGCAGGCATTGCAGCTGACCCATTCGAAAGAATGCACCTCGCCATCCTTAAATGGACCCTTGGAGTTGGCAAATCTACATCCAACGCAGCTGTTTGGGGAGACTGCGGAAGAACCCCTATTGTAGTTCGATATGTTAAACAAGTCACCGATTTCCATAATCGCCTTGCAAGACTTGAACTAGAAGACTCACCAGCCCTAGCCAGGCACGCTTTTGCGGAGCAGAAGAAACTTGATTTAGGTTGGTTCAGAGCACTGGAATCAATGCTAATGATACTCGACGAGAACAAACTTGAACATCAACTTTACAACCCATTGTTATGTCAGGAAAGGGCACATAACCGATTTATCAATCTATGGGAAACAGAAAGACAAAGCAATAAGAAGCTTACGTTCTATAATAAAGTTAAAGGTGCTTTCGAGCAGGAGCCGTACCTCACGCTACCGTCGAGAACTGGAAGCAACTTAGTGGCTAGGATCCGAATGAGCGGACATAAGCTAAACGTAGAAACTGGAAGATATGGGAGCAGAACTGGAAGTCAACATCACAGAATTTGTGAATTCTGCAGCGAAAAGTCCATGATGGAGCTCTTTGTTAATCTTCCTTGTGTTGATCCGATAATAGAAGATGAAGAACACTTCCTTAGAACATGTCCCAGGTACCATTCCAGTAGGACTAACATGAAGGAGCCCACAAAGTCATTACTATTTCATGACATGAAGAGCCTCTTTCTACCGGAGCACATAGTGGAATTCACCAAGTTTGTCGCTCAGCTGTGCAGAACACGATTCCCTATAAAGAAGAAACACGAACATTAGTGTCTCAGTACGGGATATCACATTTCCTCCACAGCCCCTTCATTTTCACTTTTTCTTTACACTCATCAATCACCTTAATGGTAACGGATTTTCTATTTGGATTTCGGACTTTGACCTTTAGCTATGCTGATCTGACATTATCTCACTGTAATATAGATCTATTTTTTGTAAACCTTGTAAACCTTGTAAACCTTGTATACAACTGAAACTTTTTTGACTGGGTCAAATGCTTTAATGGCCTCCAAATCAGCATGAAAAAATAAAAAATTGGCCAAGAAATAGGAGTTTTAGAGCCCAAAATTTGGTACCCCAAGTGGTGTCAAAAACGCGAATTAAATAAGTAATAATTGTTTTAGTCATTTGAGTCTTGACACCATTTTAGGGTTAGACGGGTTCCTGCTAGTATATATAAAGCGAGACGATAGTTATCCGTGCCATTTTACTGACACCACGGCATCAACTTTAACGCGACTTTCCGCAAAAACCGTAAAAGATAGACAACTGAAGCTTTTTTGACTGGGTCAAATGCTTTAATGGCCTCCAAATCAAAACGAAAAAATAAAACATTGGCCAAGGAATAGTGATTTTAGAGCTCAAAATTTGGACCCCCAATTGGTGTCAAAAACGCGAATTAAATAGGTAATAATTATTTTAGTCTCTTGAGTCTTGACACCACTTTAGGGTTATATGGGTTCCTGCTAGTAATTATAAAGTTTGTTATACGTATAGCGAATAGTAGTGAGACAACGATCCTAGCCTACTATAAGTTTAATGGCAGATAACGATCGTAGTATAGTGTTTCATGTTTAAAACTTATGCATTATATTCCGTAGCAGATAATATTATCCTTTAACAGCACACCCAAAAACCATAGAAATAAGTTGTGAGTCTGTACAGGATTGCCACAGCAACGCTTTACCCCAGTATTGAGCTTACCATATTTCTGTCGATTACTAATCCTTGTTAATTTCCGTATAGCAATGATGATCACCTTCATTGTGACACTTTCCTTGGTTTGTGCTCTATCCTCTAGTAATGACGGACTGAAGGTCCGAGCTCTGTCATTTGGTCGAACAAGCGCAGACTATGTACAATTCCAACCTGGTGATATGTCTCCGTTCTCTACTTCCTTTACCATATGCTCATGGATGAAGAGACTTCATGATGCGAGTTATCCAATAGTGTTGAATTACAATCCAGGACATGTCATCGTCGGAGGCGACGGATATTGGAATAGTGCTATTAAAAGTTACCTAAATGTAAGAGGAAGATACGCAGGATTTAAACAGTGGTTCCATTACTGTTTATCGATTGTGGCTCGAGGTACACTGAGAGTGTACGTGAACGGTGCACAATCAGACAGCACATCAGCTTCAACTAGCTGGCTTACAATGGGAGGGACCATCACTTTAGGGAACTCTGAGTCTATGAGTACAGGTTACATATTCGGTGGACAGTTACACAAGCTGAACTGGTATTCTGAAGAACTGACCTCCTCCCAGATTAGAGAGATGTATGAAGCTGGTTTGTGTTCTACTGTAGAGGAGGAGTATAGCAGCAGGGAGATAAAATGGGAGCTGATTCTGACGAAACAGAGATACGGTAATGTTACAGAGTTTCTCCCAACAGAATGTGGAGTAGACCGCAAGACCAAGCTGGAGGAAACTGATGTTAAACATGCCACCATTGAGCAGAAACTACAAGAAGTGACTGAAACTCTTAACGACACTCTAACAGAACTGAATGGGACAAAAGCAGAGTGTAGGGAATCAAAGATTGTGCTCCAGGAAAAAGAAACCAAGCTTAACAGAACCGAACAGAAACTACAAGAAGTGACTGAAACTCTTAACGACACTGTAGCAGAACTCAATGGGACCAAGGCTGAGTGTAGGGAATCAAAGATTGTGCTCCAGGAAAAAGAAACCAAGCTTAACAGAACCGAACAGAAACTACAAGAAGTGACTGAAACTCTTAACGACACTCTTTTGGAGGCTAGAAGTCTTGAAACTGTAAGTAGATGGGACGTTCTGTTCACTCCCCCTTACCTGAATAAGCTCTTTACACGGCAGCTCTACAATCAACTGATCGACTGGGTCATGATGGGTAAATCTTTCGTACATTTTCTGTTGTCGTTTTTGTATTTCCCAGGAAATGTATAATTGTTTGTATAATTGTATAATTTTGTATAATTGTTTCATATTATCATTATTTAACAACGTGACCAGATAAAGTTCATACCAAACTTATAACATTTCAGAGGATTTCATTGGGGTGAACGTTACAGTGGGACTGGTGGAGCATTTCAAACAACACCACGAGGAACAAGAGGACCATGAAACTTGCGACGAGGACTGAACAACAACTACTGTTATCTACTATTGAAGTTTTAATTAAGTGCATAATACACTGTAACATTTGTCATTGGGCCCTGTAATCGTCTGTAATCATCTGCAATCAACATTTTAGCTGTAATATTAATATTACTAATATACTGTTATCAGCTATTAACTATCAACTAATATTATTCTATGTGACTGTATTAAACTGTACTGACTTAATAAGACGTAAACATTTATTATGATAATTACGATTTACAAATTATTAAAATCTTTGATTTTAAGCTGTGTTCAACTGTTAACACTAAAATTTGACGAAATCAACACTTATTATAAAAACTCCAACTAATTATCTGGCAGCTGTTCTAATGATATCTTTTAAACCTGGCAGCTGTTGGTAGGTTTAAATGATATCATTTGAACAGCTGCCAGATAATTAGTTGGAGTTACCAATTAGAGAGGAACTGAAGCGGTACGACAAAAATTGTACCAGATAAACAACTGACTGCTCTTTTATTTTGAAATTAGCGACCCGTCCTAATAATCACTAAGTAACTGGTAAAAGGACGACTTTATGATCAATGTTTTCTGTGCCTCATCGAATATATTTTAATATCTGATATAAAATATCAGTATCGGGGTCCTTCATCCTTTTTAAGCTACACCTCTAGAACGAGTCCAAAATTAAAGGGTTTATCAACAACCACGACATGGAGAAATAATGCGAAGATGAGTACATAATGGATGCTTTTTGATGATTTCGATGGCTTTCACTAGGTCACCCTTACATCTACCGCTTGTACGTCTGATGGATATTACCTACTGAGTATCAAGATACTGTCTACATGTTAGGAGGTGTAAAGATGGTACGTATAGAAAATGTCTTCCTTCTAAAATATCACCAATCGCTACACCTTAACACCTACGCTATGCATTTTTATAGGTAACTAGGCAATAATGCTAATATGAGGATCATCTACTTACCTACTATAATTAGTAGGTGAGTAGATGCACTTCAGCAATCCAGTTGGTTGATCTATTTTGAAAACATATAGTATATACTGTATACTTCTACGCTGTTAAATAATCCAACCAGAGAGTACCTAAAGGCTGCAAATTTGGCGAATTGTTCAGTATAATTGCATTGTTTTTTTCTCCAAATTTACCACACATAAAGATGTTTTAGGCAGATGCGAAATCGCACTATTTACGAAATATTAACGCACCTACAATAACTACATGTAATGTAATGTTGTAATGTAACTACATTTTGCCTCTGTTATAAGTATCAAGTAAGTAGACTAATATTTGCACTGTACTGTGTACTGTGCACTGTGCACTGTGTATTGTGTACTGTGTACTGTGTACTGTGTACTGTGCACTGTGCACTGTGCACTGTGCACTGTGTACTGTGTACTGTGTACTGTGTACTGTGTACTGTGTACTGTGTACTGTGTACTGTGTACTGTGTACTGTGTACTGTGTACTGTGTACTGTGTACTGTGTACTGTGTACTGTGTACTGTGTACTGTGTACTGTGTACTGTGTACTGTGTACTGTGTACTGTGTACTGTGTACTGTGTACTGTGTACTGTGTACTGTGTACTGTGTACTGTGTACTGTGTACTGTGTACTGTGTACTGTGTACTGTGTACTGTGTACTGTGTACTGTGTACTGTGTACTGTGTACTGTGTACTGTGTACTGTGTACTGTGTACTGTGTACTGTGTACTGTGTACTGTGTACTGTGTACTGTGTACTGTGCACTGTGCACTGTGCACTGTGCACTGTGCACTGTGCACTGTGCACTGTGCACTGTGCACTGTGCACTGTGCACTGTGCACTGTGCACTGTGCACTGTGTACTGTGTACTGTGTACTGTGTACTGCCCACTGTCCTATAAATTATCTCCAAGTTAAATCTTACCGCGAATAAGAAACCTTGGCACCAAGTTTCAGCATGAATGAAATTAAATGGTGGTATGGTAATTGAAATTAGCAGAATATTAGAATAGCTGAGTGATTCCGTTTCCAAGAACCCTGTAACCAACTGTTACCAGTAACCTTTGACTTGTGCGTATAAATCAGATAACAGGTAACACTAGCTGGCACTAGCTGGTTTTAAACTAGAACCTTCTACGATATTCAGAAGTTGTGGTTCTGGGAACTCTCTAGAATGATTTCTGGGATCTGTAACTATGGTTACTGGGATCTGTCCCAACCATTTCTCGTTGAAATCGCTTTGTTTCAAATTATTTCCGACCAAAATATTTATTTAACTGTACTAGCACTTATTAACCAGTATACTGTGAATATGACTAAAATACTATGTTTCCTGATAAATATCAAGGACAGTATTTTGATAACCTAATTTACCAATTTTATGAAGAGATCAGTCAAGGTAACCCATAATTCACAAATACGATCTAAATTTTCAATTATCTTGTTTCTGCAGATCAGCCATAGGTGATAAGAACCAACATTTTAAAACCGGTGACTTCAAACATTAACGGGGACTTCAAACAGTTGCTAGGTAACGGTACCATTAACGGGTCTTTTGATCCATTCCGGAGAAAAGTCCGGACTCATTCATCGCACGCTTAATTATAATCTGTTAATATAATCTGCAAATATTTCAGATTTTAATTATGCCGCACCCTTGAAATAAAATATTCATTTTTAAAGTTGTCATTTTCTCAAACTTGATCCGAGTTCCCGAACATCATCAAAAATGCCTTTCGTAAAATTCGTGTCTTTAGCACTTGTGCTTGCTCTGTGTGGGAGTGCAGCAGGACAAAGCAAGTGTCTCCAACTAAAGAAACAGGACAGTATGTATGGATACAACCTGGCTCGCGGGAACAGGAAGTCCGTCTACTTCCCTCTATTGCGAGTGGGAACTCAGAGTGCGGACAGGAACCTTGGAACGATCAAGCTTTACAACCGACACACGCCCATCATCGAGTTACAAGTGACAGTTACCATAGGTGATAACGGAGATTCTACGCTGATTTTAGGCGCGATGCACACAACAGAAGCCGGATGTGGGGACCTCACTACAAATGACTGCGTCAATGATGTTCCTGAAAGCAGATATCCGATGTGGGCAAACTGCCAAGACTTCAACTTCAACGCCTTGACCCCACGTGGACTAAACCTGGAGATGAGACTGGAAGGTAAGTTCCTGGTGGTGTCTGTGGAGGGGGACCTGGTAGGAAAAGTAGCCCTCCCTCCTATAGGCTGCATGCCCCACGCCCTGAGACACACTATCACAAGAATAGCTTACATCTCCGGAACAACTCTCGTGCAGGCCTTCATCTGCAATTAGGAATAGAAGCAAGGGACAACACGTCGTACAATTATTAGCATGTGGTATTTTTAATTGTCCGCTAGGATTCATGACAAACCAACAAACTGAGAAGCGTGGCTTTTTCAATCATATATTTTTTATTATTATTATTTTATCGATTTACAACATTCAACTTTGTGTGGATTTTTAATAGCCAATATAATTACAATTATGTAATATTTTGAGTACACGTTGTCTAGTTCAATGAATACAATCAATTTATCAATTCATTTTTATTTGTTATTCGTGTCCCATCATACGGAAATATTTTACATTAACGATAAAAACAAATTTATGAATTGTAAACCTTGATTCTGCAAAAGTTCAGTGCACATAAGTTGGGTTTTATAATATGAACATAGCCATGATTAATATTTGAGACCTGCAACTGCAAGTGTAATTTTGGTAACTACTCATTTAAGGATTCCGTCGCCACAACTTGAAAATTCGATTTATACTCGAAAAAATGCCCAAAAAGTAGTACAACTTTTGGATTGTTAATGGTTTTGAATGCCCTCGAGCCTTCATTTTAATGTCACATTGTCTTGCTACGCATTGTACAGAGTGTGTAAACACAATGTCCGGTCAAGTAACGTCTGATAAGGTAATGGCTAAATTCTCTAAAGATGTAACAAGAATTGCGCACGTTGTTTCGTTTTGGCGGACGCTAGATTTCCATTTCACATTTACTATACATTTACAATTTAAGTATAACAAAATGTTACGGAGTCCATGAGGTTAAAGGGGAGTATAGTAGTAAGAAAATACACGCTTAGAAAAAACCATCAATTTAAATGGAATTTGGTAATCTTTTTTTTGCCCTTATGAGTGGGTCAATCGACAATCATTTATTTTGAATTGTAGTTCAAGTTGACGAAGTGAGAGTCTCCACACTAAGTGGAGACTCTTTGTCATACGTTGTATGACCCGCCGCGCACGAAGTGCGCGGCTCCCCCTGTATCGTCGAAGACGGTACTATAGTGAAGCTGAAGACGGTACTATAGTGAAGCGACCGTGGGGGTCACCACGTGATACAAGAGACTCTCACTTCGTCAACTACAATTCAAAATTAAATGGAATTTATTTAGATTTAAATTGAATAGCTGTGTGTTACTGTTAGAGTTATAAAATTAAACGTCTTGCTCATATGGGGCTTAATTGACGATTTGAATCCTGCGCAGCTCGGCGTGGCCCCTGCCCCTTGGTGCATCGCGCTACAACTATATGTGTTGCTATGTGTTGCTATGTGTTGCTATGTGTTGCTATGTGTTGATATGTGTTGCTATGTGTTGCTATGTGTTGCTATGTGTTGCTATGTGTTGCTATGTGTTGACTGTTGCTATGTGTTGCTATGTGTTGCTATGTGTTGCTATGTGTTGCTATGTGTTGCTATGTGTTGCTATGTGTTGCTATGTGTTGCTATGTGTTAATATGTGGCATGATAGTAGCATAAATTCATAGTTACGGGGTCTAATTGTCAAGGTTTCTGTGACAATGAACTGGGTTAATATGCTCAAGGACTGTTCCAGGGTGAACTGGTCCTAGTAGAAGATGTGCTAAAGATGTGCTTAATAATAATTTCTTTTAAATAGAGTGAAATAGGTAGGCGAACTAAACCATGTGACATATCACATACCACATACCACATACCACATCTTACATTCTTACAAGTATAAATAAGACTGTACTTGTTTGTTTGTGTGTGTGTTTGTTTATTTATTTCCAGTTGCGTTTTGAGATATCGGCTGATTGCACACCCATTTTGTTTATTCATTTTCCGATACGAGATTGGGGACGGGTTCTATAAATAGAACCCGTCCCCAATCTCGTATCGGAAAATGAATAAACTCAAATCTGAGTGTGAATACTTGTCTGAAAAAAAGCAATAGAAATAATTGTATAGTAATGCACGACCGTACTTATTACCTAGATAGTACTTATTGCAGTTTTAGAACTAATTGAAGTACTTATTATGTTAGTTCGGTAGAATGGCTGGCTTACAATCAGACCAAGTCCAACTGCATTAACTCTGCTTAAGAAAATTAATAATTTGACGAGCATTTAACAGATTAACACATTTATCAGATTTCAGGTGTGCCCTAGTCCCTACTGTACGTACGGCGGTCGCGCGCTACTGCAAGTCCCTACTGTACGGGGTCTTTAATTTTTCAATGTAACAAAATCCCTGGTCACGTGTGGATTGCAAGAAGAAGTAGGAATTGTCCAATAGACCGCACAGAGTGAAAGGGTTTGGATCTGCCATTAAAAGGTATCTTGTTGATCTTCAAAGGTTTCCTGAGCAGTTTCTTGTATCCTAAGAAAATGCAGACAATCGGTCATGGCAATCGGTCATCCCCCCCCCCCCCCCCCCCCGGCTACCTTTACCCCTTACCGACAAACGTGATTTAACTTCAAACAATTGGACCCAGTTCCCGCACAGTTAACAGGGCACAATCAGCTTAACTGCAGGTGTGCAATCAGCCGATATCTCAAAACGATGCAACTGAACCCAGGTCATATTACAAGTACACCCAACTTTCTGGGTCTAAATTATTTTCCCGAGCTACTCTGTCTAGGAAAAGTCCAAATTGGGCGAAGATGTAGCCAATTTACATTTTCTACATCTAATAAAACTAAAAACATAACCTTGAAGGGCGTTCTGAAAGATTTACATAATATAGCAGTCCAGTGTTACCTTCCGGATCAGTTCCACCAACTTTAAAATGGAGACTACAAGTCTACTTCCCACTGTTATTATAACACGCCTATCATTCTACGTTTCCTTACAAAATACCTTCTAATAAATGAGTGTAACCATTTGGATGGTCGGCCGTTCATGATGTCATGAAGGTAAGATTCACTTATAAACTCCATCTCAGGAAATGAGGTTCAGATTCGACTCAATTTCCACCGCTGAGTATGTCTCGGCCATACACTGAGGTATGCCAAGTTTGAAGGTCCTAGCTTAATCGGTTTGGTTTTAATCAGCACAAAACTTCCTATTATTATCATCGAGAAACTTCGCTCACAATATAATATAATATCTCTCCCGCTCTAATGTGATCGAGATGACGCGCGCTGTCACGTGGGCGGTCCTCCGCCCTTTTCAACCAATGAGAGCGCATTGTGTTGGCACATGACCCTTATTTCGCCCAATCTGCAGACAGCACTTTACTCAATGGTTAGCAGCGCAAACGTTTAGGAGGGAGAAATGAGAATATACACCAGAGAATGTACATCGCAGGCTCATTATAAAATTGTTTCTCTGAGATTCGTCGTTACTCATACCGAGTCTTAGTTTTTACGTTTTTCTCAGCCTAATTATGGTAAGCCAACATTCACATTCTAATTAGGTTGAAGTCTTAAATAGTTCATTGAAAGTTCATTCTATCTTTCTCCGTCCTAGAAGTAGTGTAAAAAGCATTAAAATTGTTCCGTATAAGTTCCGGCAAACAGTAATTCGATATTATTTTCAAAGCTTTTAACTTTCAGCGCGAGTGTATCTCTATTCATATTGGTCAAGCCGGTGTCCAGATTGGTAATGCTTGCTGGGAACTCTACTGCCTGGAGCACGGTATCCAGCCTGATGGACAGATGCCTTCTGACAAGACCATAGGAGGTGGTGATGATTCTTTTAACACCTTCTTCAGCGAGACTGGAGCCGGGAAACACGTTCCTAGGGCTGTGTTCCTTGACTTGGAGCCAACTGTTGTTGACGAAGTGAGGACTGGAACCTACAGACAACTCTTCCATCCAGAGCAGCTCATCACTGGAAAGGAAGATGCTGCTAACAACTACGCTCGAGGTCACTACACTGTCGGGAAAGATATTGTCGATCTCGTTCTAGACAGACTTAGGAAACTCGCTGACCAGTGCACTGGACTTCAAGGATTCCTTGTCTTCCATTCCTTCGGTGGAGGTACTGGATCTGGGTTCACCTCTCTTCTCCTGGAAAGACTGAGTGTAGACTACGGAAAGAAGAGCAAACTTGAGTTTGCCATCTACCCTGCTCCTCAGATCTCAACTGCTGTGGTAGAGCCCTACAACTCCATTCTGACGACCCACACCACCCTCGAGCACTCTGATTGTGCCTTTATGGTCGACAACGAGGCCGTCTACGACATCTGCCGACGAAACCTGGACATTGAGAGACCTTCCTACACCAATTTGAACAGACTGATGGCACAAATTGTCTCCTCCATCACAGCTTCTCTCCGATTTGATGGTGCTCTGAACGTTGATCTGACTGAGTTCCAGACCAACTTGGTGCCCTACCCCAGGATTCACTTCCCTCTGGCTACTTATGCTCCAGTTATCTCCGCTGAGAAGGCTTACCACGAGCAGCTCTCTGTTGCTGAGATCACCAACGCTTGCTTTGAGCCTGCCAACCAGATGGTGAAGTGTGATCCCCGACACGGCAAGTACATGGCTTGTTGTCTCCTCTACAGGGGAGATGTTGTCCCCAAAGACGTCAACGCTGCCATCGGCACCATCAAGACGAAAAAGTCCATCCAATTTGTGGACTGGTGTCCCACTGGATTCAAGGTTGGCATCAACTACCAGCCACCAACTGCTGTTCCCGGAGGTGATCTTGCCAAGGTTCAGAGAGCTGTGTGCATGTTGTCCAACACCACTGCCATTGCTGAGGCATGGGCCCGTCTGGATCACAAGTTCGATCTCATGTATGCCAAGAGAGCCTTTGTCCACTGGTACGTAGGAGAGGGAATGGAAGAGGGAGAGTTCTCTGAAGCTAGAGAGGATCTGGCTGCTCTGGAGAAGGACTACGAGGAGGTCGGTACCGACTCTGTTGAGAACGAGGGAGAGGAAGATGATGATGAGGAATACTAGACCCTTCTAGAACTCCCGCTGGACGATGAGGAATTTAGAATTTTCTAGAACTTTTACATTTGACTGCTAATTTTCTGAATGAAATAATATATCATTATCTTTTGGTCTTTTTTAGTTACAGATAGAGATATTTGAGTGCGGCCGTTATGCCAAAGCTCGTGCTGTAATAATTTTCCAAAACTTTTAAGCTTGAAATAAATGTTCAACTTCTCTTTATCTTGTCCAAAACCTTCATTGACTAGGAATGACGAAATATGAACCGCTTAGATAAAGCCTTAATCTAAGCTATTATACCTTCATAAAATTAAATAGTAGTACTAGTACTATAGTTGTTCACTTGAGCGAATGGAAAAAAAAATGTAATCTTCCTAGCAATAGGTAAATCCCTTACCTCTGTTAAAAATAGAATTAAAGCGTACATGACTCCGGTAGTAGTACTAGTACTGATGTTCGCTACCCATTGACGGATTATCTGTAATTTTATCCTCTGGAACTGTTTGAAGACTCCTTATATGGGCATCACGTGGATTATTAGACTCATGAGTATCATCAATCATGGTAGTCAGCGGCGCCGCTAGTGAAGAATTTGACAACTTTGATTCACGATGTCAATCCTTCGCAGCTCGGCAACTACTATTAGATTGCAGATGCACCACTGGGCTTCGCCGACGGCGAGGCCCAGTGGTGCATCTCGCTACATAAGTTACAACTATTCCATATTCGCTCGCCCAGATTTTAAGAAAATTCTTGTGAAAAGGCTCAGAGTCAGTCTATGTCATTGACATTTGTATTGGGTATCATACACGGTATGAAATTGATCTAAATCGGTGTATTTTGGACGCTGATTCCGAATCACCCCCATCGTGACGTAGCTAGGGTAAAAATGCTTTTTTGGTCACGTGACAGGCTATATAGTAAAATGTATTTAATTGACGATGTCAATTCTTCGCAGCTCGGCGAGGCCCAGTAGCCGATCTAACTAAATAAAAGAAAGAAGCATTATTGGAAGTGCAGCCCAGTATAACTTTGTATCACGTGGTGACCCCCACGGTCGCTTCACTGTAGCGTCTTCGACGATACAGGGGGAGCCGCGCACTTCGTGCGCGGCGGGTCATACAACGTATGACAAGTATAACTATAAGTAAAACATGAATTCGATTGTTTAGTATGTAGGGCTCGGGTTAGAGTTGTATTTGTGGTAAGGCCAAGGGTTATGGATAGCTTCGGGGTTATGGTTAGGGTTATATATAATAGTGAGGGATTAGGGTCAGATTAGCTAGCGTTAGGGTTTCCGGTTTCGAATATTCAATATTCATTCAGGGCCACTTTAAGTTTACCTGACATATGCCAGGACGCGCGCCGAGTTGGACTCGTCGAATGGCGAATATTTGATACAAATATATTTTACGAGTATCACCCGCTCTAGCAGAAGAAATAAATAACACTGACGACGCTAGAAAGATGTTTGAAGCTTCAAGATCTTTAGCTGGAATAAAAAAGTCGGGTAACATAGTGGTCAATGATATCAACAACAACCCTATTGGTAATGGTACTGATTTAGGGAAAGCAAACACAGCGAAATCTTTCTTCGAAAAACAACTAACAGAAGGAGTTGAAGCTGGCCTGCAACCTTTTACCTGCGATCCAAAACCACTTGATAACCCCATTACACCAGTTGAAGTTAAACTTGCTGCAAGTAAACTCAAATCAAACCGTGCCAGTGGTCCAGATAATGATAATCTCCAGAATGAGTTGATAAAGTACGCCCATCCAATCACTTTTGAGAAGTATGCTGAGGCAATTAATGAGTCATTTAGTGGGAACAAATACATAAGTTCAAAAGGACAAGGTATTGTGACTCCTCTACAGAAGCCCGGTAAACCTAAAGGTCCCCTCACAAGCCTTAGACCACTTTCACTGTTAAACGGATCGAGGAAGATGCTCACTCAAATTGCATTAAAACGGGTTGAGAGTAGAATTGACAACTACACCATGCCATGGCAGAGTGCTAACATTTACAAGAGAGGTAGGAGCTGCTCTAACATTGTGTGGGCTCAGAGAATGCTCATATCTGTTGTGATGAGGAAGAAATGGACATTTAGCAAAATGGGTATTGATATGAGTAGAGCTTTTGATACCGTAAAAAGGGATACTATCATCAATGTTTTGAAGGATGCTGGTTGTTCGGAGGACGACATTCGCTTAGTTCAATACCTTCTATCGAATACTCTCCTTAGAGTTCGTGTTAACTCCTCACTGTCGGAAGAGTTTGAAAGTTTACTCGGAGCCTTTCAAGGTGACAGTTTATCTGGAAAGCTATTCACACTTATTCTTGCAGCAGCCTTACACCACCTCAGAGCTGTATCCGGGAGACCAAACCCACCAGTATCAGAACTAGGTTTTCCAACTGAGTGGGAATATTCAGACGATTGTGACTTAGCTGACGAGGACATCGAGAAACTGAGAATTTTCCTTCCTACAGTGAAGGAGATTCTCAAAGACTGGAACCTCCATTCTCCAAGTAAATGAAAGTAAAACTGAATTCAGTACCTTCTACCTGGCGAAAAAATCTGATAAAGACACAAACGGTCAGCCATTAGCTAATAACGAACCATGGCGAAGTAACAAGTCACTAGGTTCCTTACTCTGCACTGAGAAGGACATTCAAAGAAGGAGAATCCTAGCTGAGATTGCTTTTAAGAACTTTGGAAAAGTATGGTTGTCCGGTAAGAAAATTTCCCTTGAAAGAAAGCTGAGGTTATATGATGCTCAAGTTGTATCTGTATTGATTTACAACTCAAATAGTTGGAGTCCTAAGAAAGCAACCATGGAGAAAATGGACACACTCCATCGTAGACACCTCAGGTCCATTTTAAACATCAAATGGCCTAAAGGTATGATAAGCAACAAAGCATTGTATGAACGGTGCAAAGTTGAAAAGTTATCCAAGCGTTTTGAACACCAGCGGTGGAAGATGTTTGGACACATTCTCAGGAGTATGGAGAACACCCCAGCCCAAACGGCTCTCTCTTTTGCAATTGAATCAGATAATTTATTCATTGGTAGATTGGGGAGACCTAGAATGAACTTGTTATCGGTTTTAAGAAGTGATTTAAGTAGTAGAAATTTGCAAATGGACAACTTGCATGAATTGAACGAAATTAGAGATATAGCTGCATGCAACAGATGTTGGGAAAATCTTTTTCAAGGGTACAGTTTACCGCATTAAGGTATTTTTAGGAATCATTTTTGTCGGTAAGATCCTGTTTTATAATAATAATAACCCGTTAACTGGCATACAGTCCCTGACTCCCTCATGTACACATGGTCCCTGTACTGCGCGCGGCTCTATTTTCAAGCTTCCTGTACGACGGCCTGCTCGCAAAATAGATATGCGACGTGTATCAAGTTATTATCAACAATATACTCGTAGGTCTGTTCCTTTATTACGAGAACCCTAGGACATAGGACCCATCAAAGTATTATTTGCTAAATCTTTGGGGAAGTTTCCCGATACCTCGCCAACCAAAGCACAAGCCACAAAGGATACACCACCATCACTAACAACTCACTCTTGGAATGGAATCTACAGAAAGATTTGAACCAGGAATAATTGGAGGACGTACTTAAATATTGTTGTCCAGAATGCAGAAGCGATCCCTGCAAAACTAAAAGTAAGTTCTCAGTCTCTTTTCCTGGCTTCTTTTGCAGGGGGCGTTACTATATGTATGACTATAAGTATAACACTGTACACGTTGTCAAGGGAAAAGCGACATTTGACAATAATATCCTGAAGAGGTCATTCTCAATACTAATGTAATCTCAACTCACTCTCATCTAACTCATTGTTTCAGTCATGATGGTCGGTGTGTTTTGACAAATCAAAATAGTCAAACTAAGTATAAATATTCGGTAAGAAGTAATACAAAACTTTACAATTACTAAACCAAAGAGATATTAAAAATCTTATTACAAGTTTAAAGCTTATAAAAGCTTATTAAAGTCAAACTCAATATCAATCCAAACTTTTTATAAACACATTCAGTATGTTATACAAGTACAAGAAAATATAACAAATAAAAATTTTAAAATTGAATAAATTCGTTTTTGCCAGAATTTAAAACGTGTTTTAGTCGATAAAAAGGTGCTTGAGTCGTTCGTTTAATGGTTTAACTTGTGCAGATTTAGCTAAAGAACTGGAGCTATTTTAAAGTAGCCATATCCTCTCTAAGGTTTTGTCAATATTTCACTTTCAATTTGAAATCAATCCATGATGGAAATAATAGAGGAATAGAAATGAGAAACATTTTAATCAAGCCACGTCTACCCTTCTAAAATTAGTTCTCACTTCTCTATTATTATTTAAGTGACCTATATTATAACCTGTTACTGTTAGCATTGATATTTGAGGGTGGCATTTCATTTGGCGATAGCATCGAAGTTCACGTCTCATATTCATAAGCTAGTAGCATCATTCGGCGTATTTAGCATTTCAAAAGTTGAATGGGAAATGTGGTCAGAGTCCATCGCAGCTTGCTGAAATGTCCTGAGTGAGTTAATCAAATTCTTACAAGAAAAAAACAACACGAGATGATAATTGGTGTCATCACTAATTATACTTATAGGGGTTCCACCCCTTAGTCATTCACAATTTCACAATTTCAAGCAGACTACACCTCCTTAAAGGTAAAAGTAAACTTTTAAACCATAACAAAATATTCTCTCTCCTTATACGGGCATCACGTGGATCCTACCTCAACTCTCGCCCTGCCCAGGGTAGAAGCGCGCTGAGGTTTAGGAGGCGGCTGGACGTAAAGCTTGTCCCCACTGTCCGGAGACCCTACAGATTCAGCTGAGCACTTGGTGAGGGTTGGGGAGAGGGTCCCGGAAGTGGGGGAGGTGCTCGACAGGAAGAGAGCTGGTTTAGTGATGACATCACCCGGAGCAGGTGACATGCAAGTGGCGGGTGTTGAACCTCCGTCATCCGGCGTGGAGGAGCCGTTAGACATTGGCGTGGAGACTCGGCGTCCTAAACTGTCACCAGTAAATAATCTTTCTCTGTAAAGTACTCAGTTTAATAACAAAATCTGGAATACACGTTTTAAACTTTATACGACTGATATTTGCCCCTCCCATTAGAAGTTTAAGATGATCTACAATGATAGAGGAGGAAATGCTAGATGTACCTGTAATCGGACTCGGGCTTGCGAGGTTTAGGAGGAGGATTATTAGTGGGAGTGTGGGGCTCCGACCTAAAGAGCGGAACAACTACAGCGTTAATCATGAGGGGGCTGTCAGGGTTAAGAAGAGGACTGTCAGGGTTGAAGAGAGGGCTGTAAGGGGGTGTGTCTACCGGGGGAGGGGGGTCCTGCAGAGGGTCACACTCAAATAGTCCATCCGGCTCCGGCAGCATTAACGGTTCCGGGTGACACACAACATCTGGATCATCAGACAGTACTTCTAGTTCCGGCTCTGAGACGAAGTCGTCATGGTCAAACACGATGTCCTGATAGTCTGGTTCAGGAACTAATGTTGTGTTTAGGTATGTTTCTCTTTCTACTGGGAGAGGAGGGAGAGGGACGCCTAAACGCTCTAGTTCTGACAGAGGGTGGGAGTCTGTTGTGGTATCTTCGTCGTTTAGGAAGCCAAATACCTCCTGATGATTTAGAGAAATTATCAGTCGTAACTCTTAGCGGGAATTGCTTTTATCTAAGTTCATTCGAGAAAACAATAACCACATAAAGGTCCCCCCCATATCAAGGTAACAACAGTTATACTCACATTTATTCTATCAGATCCACTGGGTTCGAACGGACTCATATCACACTGACTAGCTACAGAGAGTCTGTTAGAGGAGTTGCTGGTCCTGGAGTCTTCAGAGTATCTCCCGGAGTATCCGGCGTAAGAGTTCCGGGTAAAGGTCAGGTCCGCCTTGCTCTGGGTCATGGGGAGAGGGTTGTAGGCGTTGGGCGCTAGATTCCCTATTTTGTGGTAATACTTCTCTACGCTTTCCCTGTTGTGGCTGTGTCGCTCTTCGAACTCCTGAAATAGTAGAATTCCCTGTGTTAACAACTAAAATAGTAGAATTCCCTGTGTTAACAACTAAAATAGTAGAATTCCCTGTGTTAACAACTAAAATAGTAGAATTCCCTGTGTTAACAACTAAAATAGTAGAATTCCCTGTGTTAACAACTAAAATAGTAGAATTCCCTGTGTTAACAACTAAAATAGTAGAATTCCCTGTGTTAACAACTAAAATAGTAGAATTCCCTGTGTTAACAACTAAAATAGTAGAATTCCCTGTGTTAACAACTAAAATAGTAGAATTCCCTGTGTTAACAACTAAAATAGTAGAATTCCCTGTGTTAACAACTAAAATAGTAGAATTCCCGGTGTTAACAACTAAAATAGTAGAATTCCCTGTGTTAACAACTAAAATAGTAGAATTCCCTGTGTTAACAAGTAAAATAGTAGAATTCCCTGTGTTAACAACTAAAATAGTAGAATTCCCTGTGTTAACAACTAAAATAGTAGAATTCCCTGTGTTAACAACTAAAATAGTAGAATTCCCTGTGTTAACAACTAAAATAGTAGAATTCCCTGTGTTAACAACTAAAATAGTAGAATTCCCTGTGTTAACAACTAAAATAGTTTAATTCCCTGTGTTAACAACTCAAATAGTAGAATTCCCTGTGTTAACAACTAAAATAGTAGAATTCCCTGTGTTAACAACTAAAATAGTAGAATTCCCTGTGTTAACAACTAAAATAGTAGAATTCCCTGTGTTAACAACTAAAATAGTAGAATTCCCTGTGTTAACAACTAAAATAGTAGAATTCTCTGTGTTAACAACTAAAATAGTAGAATTCCCTGTGTTAACAACTAAAATAGTAGAATTCCCTGTGTTAACAACTAAAATAGTTTAATTCCCTGTGTTAACAACTAAAATAGTAGAATTACCTGTGTTAACAAATAAAATAGTAGAATTCCTTGTGTTAACAACTAAAATAGTAGAATTCCCTGTGTTAACAACTAAAATAGTAGAATTCCCTGTGTTAACAACTAAAATAGTAGAATTCCCTGTGTTAACAACTAAAATAGTAGAATTCCCTGTGTTAACAACTAAAATAGTAGAATTCCCTGTGTTAACAACTAAAATAGTAGAATTCCCTGTGTTAACAACTAAAATAGTAGAATTCCCTGTGTTAACAACTAAAATAGTAGAATTCCCTGTGTTAACAACTAAAATAGTAGAATTCCCTGTGTTAACAACTAAAATAGTTTAATTCCCTGTGTTAACAACTAAAATAGTTTAATTCCCTGTGTTAACAACTAAAATAGTAGAATTCCCTGTGTTAACAACTAAAATAGTAGAATTCCCTGTGTTAACAACTAAAATAGTAGAATTCCCTGTGTTAACAACTAAAATAGTAGAATTCCCTGTGTTAACAACTAAAATAATAGAATTCCCTGTGTTAACAACTAAAATAGTAGAATACCCTGTGTTAACAACTAAAATAGTAGAATTCCCTGTGTTAACAACTAAAATAGTAGAATTCCCTGTGTTAACAACTAAAATAGTAGAATTCCCTGTGTTAACAACTAAAATAGTAGAATTCCCTGTGTTAACAACTAAAATAGTAGAATTCCCTGTGTTAACAACTAAAATAGTAGAATTCCCTGTGTTAACAACTAAAATAGTTTAATTCCCTGTGTTAACAACTCAAATAGTAGAATTCCCTGTGTTAACAACTAAAATAGTAGAATTCCCTGTGTTAACAACTAAAATAGTAGAATTCCCTGTGTTAACAACTAAAATAGTAGAATTCCCTGTGTTAACAACTAAAATAGTAGAATTCCCTGTGTTAACAACTAAAATAGTAGAATTCTCTGTGTTAACAACTAAAATAGTAGAATTCCCTGTGTTAACAACTAAAATAGTAGAATTCCCTGTGTTAACAACTAAAATAGTTTAATTCCCTGTGTTAACAACTAAAATAGTAGAATTACCTGTGTTAACAAATAAAATAGTAGAATTCCTTGTGTTAACAACTAAAATAGTAGAATTCCCTGTGTTAACAACTAAAATAGTAGAATTCCCTGTGTTAACAACTAAAATAGTAGAATTCCCTGTGTTAACAACTAAAATAGTAGAATTCCCTGTGTTAACAACTAAAATAGTAGAATTCCCTGTGTTAACAACTAAAATAGTAGAATTCCCTGTGTTAACAACTAAAATAGTAGAATTCCCTGTGTTAACAACTAAAATAGTAGAATTCCCTGTGTTAACAACTAAAATAGTAGAATTCCCTGTGTTAACAACTAAAATAGTTTAATTCCCTGTGTTAACAACTAAAATAGTTTAATTCCCTGTGTTAACAACTAAAATAGTAGAATTCCCTGTGTTAACAACTAAAATAGTAGAATTCCCTGTGTTAACAACTAAAATAGTAGAATTCCCTGTGTTAACAACTAAAATAGTAGAATTCCCTGTGTTAACAACTAAAATAATAGAATTCCCTGTGTTAACAACTAAAATAGTAGAATACCCTGTGTTAACAACTAAAATAGTAGAATTCCCTGTGTTAACAACTAAAATAGTAGAATTCCCTGTGTTAACAACTAAAATAGTAGAATTCCCTGTGTTAACAACTAAAATAGTAGAATTCCCTGTGTTAACAACTAAAATAGTAAAATTCCCTGTGTTAACAACTAAAATAGTAGAATTCCCTGTGTTAACAACTAAAATAGTAGAATTCCTTGTGTTAACAACTAAAATAGTAGAATTCCCTGTGTTAACAACTAAAATAGTAGAATTCCCTGTGTTGACAACTAAAATAGTAGAATTCCCTGTGTTAACAACTAAAATAGTAGAATTCCCTGTGTTAACAACTAAAATAGTAGAATTCCCTGTGTTTTTTTTATTAAATACTTTTCAAATTTTACAGAGTACAGCAATAGATGAATATAAAATAGAATCGTTCAAAATATCGCCCGCATCTGTAAAATATGATGGGCACCCAAACACGGTAAACACATAGTGAACTATGTCCGCAGTAACTTGGACCCATTACATCGAATTAATCTAAATCCAAAAATTTATGAAAAACTATTTAATAACAAACAAATCCATGGTGAATAACTGTGGATATAGTGTCAAAATTGGTATTTCATACGTCAAATTCCAGATACATTAGATACAGGTCTGATATGGTCATTAATGTGTGAGAAGGTGTGCGGGTGAAGTGTGATATGATGTTGAAAGTATAGGAAGGTAGATAAAAAAACTTAATAAAACAAAAAATAATAATATGGGGAGCAAAGAGACTTGGCTAGACTGTTGTTTCACTATCTAATAAACATTTCCATAGATGCTTAGTGACCTCAGCTTTGAAAAGACTAGTAGACACAATCTGTCTTACCTGTAAAGGGAGTCCATTCCACAGTATATGTGTTCTGTAGAAAAATGATTTTGCCAGTGGGCTATTTGAGGTACATATGGTGTGTGAATTCTGACTTAACTTAGGTAAAATTGATGACACAATAGACAGACTGTCGAGGTGGCAACGTCTTAGTCGAGAAGTGCCCTGATATAAAGAGAGATAGTGAGGCAGCGATACAGGAATTAAATTGTTCAGAACTTTGTGGAAAAAAATAAGATCATTCAAGTCAAACTTTTGAGACAAAGGGAGAATGTCGACAAGCTTGCACTTTTTGACATATTGCTCAGGTGGATAACTGCGGCCCTCTTCAGACAGAATCCATTTAATAGTTAACAACTAAAATAGTAGAATTCCCTGTGTTAACAACTAAAATAGTAGAATTCTCTGTGTTAACAACTAAAATAGTTTAATTCCCTGTGTTAACAACTAAAATAGTAGAATTCCCTGTGTTAACAACTATAATAGTAGAATTCCCTGTGTTAACAACTAAAATAGTAGAATTCCCTGTGTTAACAACTATAATAGTAGAATTCCCTGTGTTAACAACTAAAATAGTAGAATTCCCTGTGTTAACAACTAAAATAGTAGAATTCCCTGTGTTAACAACTAAAATAGTAGAATTCCCTGTGTTAACAACTAAAATAGTAGAATTCCCTGTGTTAACAACTAAAATAGTAGAATTCCCTGTGTTAACAACTAAAATAGTAGAATTCCCTGTGTTAACAACTAAAATAGTAGAATTCCCTGTGTTAACAACTAAAATAGTAGAATTCCCTGTGTTAACAACTAAAATAGTAGAATTCCCTGTGTTAACAACTAAAATAGTTTAATTCCCTGTGTTAACAACTAAAATAGTAGAATTCCCTGTGTTAACAACTAAAATAATAGAATTCCCTGTGTTAACAACTAAAATAGTAGAATTCCCTGTGTTAACAACTAAAATAGTAGAATTCCCTGTGTTAACAACTAAGAAGTAGAATTCTCTGTGTTAACAACTAAAATAGTAGAATTCCCTGGGTTAACAACTAAAATAGTAGAATTCCCTGTGTTAACAACTAAAATAGTAGAATTCCCTGTGTTAACAACTAAAATAGTAGAATTCCCTGTGTTAACAACTAAAATAGTAGAATTCCCTGTGTTAACAACTAAAATAGTAGAATTCCCTGTGTTAACAACTAAAATAGTAGAATTCCCTGTGTTAACAACTAAAATAGTAGAATACCCTGTGTTAACAACTAAAATAGTAGAATTCCCTGTGTTAACAACTAAAATAGTAGAATTCCCTGTGTTAACAACTAAAATAGTAGAATTCCCTGTGTTAACAACTAAAATAGTGGAATTCCCTGTGTTAACAACTAAAATAGTAGAATTCCCTGTGTTAACAACTGAAATAGTAGAATCCCCTGTGTTAACAACTAAAATAGTAGAATTTCCTGTGTGACCTACCTATGTGACCTATGTTGAGTTTCGTCAAGACTTGACGGGGCCATCACATCTTCTGACCACCCCATAGCGAGGTAGAGTCTCGCTCGTTGCGCCAGCACAGCAGAGAGTTCGTATTTGGAGGAGTATATCCCCTGATCGGCGGCTTATCAGGGAGAGACAACATGAACTTTGTGAGCTTATCTTTGAAGTGCTCTAGATCTTGAATGACATTCAGATGGTAGGGGATTGCATTCCACAATTTGGGTCCCTGAACTGCAAATGAGTTGTCAAACAAGGTGAGGTTTGCTGTTGAACTGGTTCTACGTTTTGATGGAATTACTGCAAGGTTTCCAAGCCTTGGGCGTGAAACAAATAGAACGTTCAGATCATTGCTGGTCTTTCCGTGGAGGATTTTCCACATATGGAGAATGATGAATCGCTCCCGCCTTCGTTGAAGAGACATCAGAGATAGATAGACCAGGCGATCCCAGTAGTGGAGATCGCGCATTCCTGATATTCTGGCGGTGAATGCTTTCTGTACACTCTCCAGTTCTTGGATATCGCTGATTTTTGAGGGATGCCATAATGGACAGCAATATTCAATCAGACTTCGAACCATTGATTTGTATAGGGTCAGCATGATGGAGTGAGATCGTGTGTGAAATACACTGAGAACCCATGATGCTTTTTGGCGTGCTTTATCTGCAATGGCTCGTATGTGAGGGGACCAAGAGAGATCACTTGACACTATGACGCCTAAATCCCTGAGCTGATGTATTGGCTCAAGTATAGTGTCTTTGGAAACTGAGTATTGATAGTGTTCAACCACAAATGGAAGTTCAGATAGTACATATTGGTGGTTGAATTTATGACACATGTACTCAAATTTGTCTTTGTGAAGGGCCATATTATTTCTTTCAGACCAGTCAATGACATTTTGCAGATCTTCTTGGAGGAGCTTGACGTCATGCTCCGATTTGATAGCAATGGATATGCGAGTGTCATCAGCAAAACATCGAATTATAGAGTGCATGATACAATGTTCGATATCATTGATAAAAATCAAGAAAAGGATCGGCCCCAAAACCGTACCTCGTGGAACTCCGCTGATTATCAGTGCAAGGATGGACAGATGACCGTCAACAACAACTGCTTGTTTCCGGTCTGAGAGGAAAGATTCTATCCACTTTATGATTTTAGGATGGATTCCATAGAGTTGGAGCTTTCTCAGTAGGAGTTTGTGATCGACTTTATCGAAAGCCTTGGCATAGTCGAGGTATATTGAATCAAAATCTGAATTGTTGCTCAGAGAATCCAAAACGTCATCAAAATGGTGGAGAAGTTGAGTAAGGCAACTCCGGCCAGATCTAAATCCGTGCTGCTTACTACATATGAGGTTATTGATCTCCAAATAGTTTACCAGCTTTTTTCTTATCACCCTCTCGTATACTTTAACCACATGAGATGTGAGTGATATAGGTCGGTAGTTAGCTGGTTTGGCTCGACTATCCTTCTTGTGGAGAGGAAATACGTGTGAGAACTTATAGAAACTAGGGACCTCCCCAGTAACTAAAGAGCGGGACCAGATGATGTGCATTGGTTCTGCTAGGGCTTTCTTGCAGTTCTTGAGAAGAGTGACTGGAATTTCGTCAGGACCTGATGCAGCATTAGGTTTGATGTCTTCAATGGCCTTAATGATGTCGTCCACGGAGAAATTCAGCATATCGTCAGTAAAAGGATGCTTGATTGGAGGGGGACTGAAAGAAGCAGAGTCGATCCGAGTTTTCGAAGGATCACTGAATACTGACAAGAACTGATTCTGCAAGAGGTTGGCAATATCTTTTGGATTTGATTTGATGGCACCGTTTCCATCAAAAAGCATGCTGATGTTGCTTTTCTTCTTCGAAAATTTCTTAGCGTAACTATAGAAATACTTGGGATTTTCTTTTACCTTGCTTACGGCTTGCTGTTCACGGTACAGGAGATCCTGGTTGATGGCATCACGAATATCCATATGAGCGAGAGCAAGTTTCCGGTTCAAAGATTCAATCTGTGTGGGAGGGCTATGGGGATTACTTTTTGCAGCCTCTAGCTGGGTTTGAAGCTTTCGTTTTCTGCGAGAGGGGATGCGCACAGATGAGCGAGTTTGGGTTTTGGGAGGGATCTTCTTCGGACAGCCAATCTGGCAGATTTGTAGAGTAATAAGAGTGAATAGCTCTGGAAAATCCTCTTTGTCGCAAAGGTTGATGAGTTGAGCCCAGTCAACAGATGAGAGCATGTCATTGATCGATGAAAAATCTGCTTTATTAAAGTCTAAGCTTCTAAACGAAGAATCAATGAAATCCGGAGGATCTGAATGAGTAGGAGAACAAGGATTGTAAGACAAAAATATCTCTACACGTCTGTGATCTGATAGTGGAGTGTCCGAAATAGAGACGTGAGAAACTAGATCCTCTGAGTTTGAAATGTACAGATCTAATACATTTCTGAGTCTGGTGGGTTCCAGCACATGTTGAGTACATAGATTCTCAGACATGAAGTCAAGTAAAAGAGCTGCACTGTAAGTTGAACATGAGGAACCACCGGGTAAGATAGAATTAGTGGACCAGCCAATGAGGGGAATATTTAAGTCTCCAAGAAGTGATAGCCGGTATTCGCCATCGCCACTGGCAATGTACTGGTCAATGAAGTCCAAACATGATTTAAAACTGGGAACTGGACACTCGGGCGGGCGATATAGTACACAAATGATTGACTTTTCAGATTCGCTGGTACACATCAAAGCCTGACAGTATCTATCATCATATGTCTGGACGTTAGTTATGGGGAGTTTATCATGTGTATAAAGTAAAACTCCACCTCCAACCCTAGCTTCTCTATCACTTCTGAACAGAGAGTAACCCGGAATTTCAAGTTGAGCATCCTCGATGTAAGACTTAAGCCATGTCTCTGTTAAGGCGATTAATGGAACGGTGTGGTTCTTGGCTTGTTCCTTTCTTAATTCGTCTTCAAGGTAAGAGGCTTTCCATCTGGAGGTGCTATGGGCGCTAGGGTTAAATGATTGAATGTTTAGCAGCCAGATGCTAGAATGTTCGACCAGTTCGCTTGGGGAGGAGGAAAACGACTCTGCGGTTGGAACTGGGGAACAGGATGTTGGAACATGATGTTCTGGCTTGGAGGACCGTGAGGGACGAACTGCCTGATGATGTGCTGGTTGGCACTGGGGAAGAGCGAGGCAATTCTGTTCTCCTGAGTCACAATACTGGATTTTATGTTTTCGATCTCTTTCTGAAAAATGGTCTGGAAGTTCGTCAGAAGGGATCGAATCTCTAAAAAATCCTTGTTCTCATGGTGGGGTGTTGACTTAGTATGAGACTGAGAAGAAGAGCGTGTCCTTTTATTGTTGTTATTCTCTTTATTTTTCTGATCATTAGAAGTTCTGTTATCAGAGATGTCTCTTCTGTAGGAATCACGCTCCTTGGGTTTGTGTCGTTTAGTACCAACAGTGTGAACTAATAAGCATTCCTCATCGTAACAAGACTTATCAGACAAGGATGTTGGACAGTGTTGGGGATGAAAAAATTTGCATTTATCACCACGCCTACAGCCAAACTTTCTGTGGGTACTATTTTTAATGAACTTAGAGCAGCGTGGAGGGTGGAACATTTTGCATGCTGATTGATCATTACTTGGCGTTTTACCACTGACACCGTGTGGGCATTTTCCAAGTTTTAGCAAGCTGCAGATCTGTGTTAACAACTAAAATAGTAGAATTCTCTGTGTTAACAACTAAAATTCTTTACAATTTTTATAAAGTTACTTCTGGAGAATAATTAGCTAGTTACTATGGTTACTAGTTACTATGGTTACTATGGTTACTAGTTACCGGACTGGCTAAAAATAAGCGCTTTCTCCTACCTCGATCTTTTCATCGTATTTTCTCTTTATTTTCCTCTTCTCCTGTTCACAGAGTTCTGTCCGCTCAGCCTTCTTGTGCCGCTGAGTTTCCAAAACACTCCCCTCCGCCTCAACCTGGATCTGACGGCACCGCTCAATTGTCTCCTTCTTTCGGGTCAGGAAGTTCTCCTTCTGCTCCTTCTGTATGTCCCACACTTCCTTCCAGATCTCCGATTCGCGGTCCTTCTGTTCTACTTTGAACTGAAATTGTATCTAAGTTAATACAACTGAGGCGGTCCTTCTGTTCTACTTTGAACTGAAATTGTATCTAAGTTAATACAACTGAGGCGGTCCTTCTGTTCTACTTTGAACTGAAATTGTATCAAGTTAATACAACTGAGGCGAGGGATTGTTATTCTTGAATCTATTAGATATCAAGCTGCCTTGATATTGAGTAAGCTAGAAGGAACATCAGAAATTTCCCCATCCAACCTGTTCAAGGAATTTCTTCCTCTCCGATCTGCTGAGCAGGGCAACACTTTTATTAACCACTTCTAGGCGACGTTTCTTGTCTTCCTTGATCTTCTTTGGGACGTTCTTGCGATCCACCTCTTGCTGTTTCATTAGTTCTGCTTCTTCTAGAGCCAGTGTCCTCTTTGTGAATTCTTGCTCCTGTGAAAGTGATAATGTTTAAGCTGTTTTGAAGGTGAAAGTGTAAGAGAAAGTTGAAGTGAAAGTACAAGTGAAAGGAAATGTTCTAAGCAGTCTGTCATTTATAGCAAAACTAGTGTAATGTGGTTGGCCGCCTCTATTTTACACTTAGATCACACAGAAGGCCAGAACTCTGCATACAGAGCAATAAAAGTTAGTGAGAATAAATGAAGCTCTGCCAACAACTTTAAGTTGCTAAATTATAATTAGCAAGTTATATTTATAGTTATCCGGGTCAACCGTTACTTTATAAAAAATGTTGTCATATCATTATCAGTATCTAGAATAAAACAATTGCGAACCTTTTGATGTTTAATCCGGTTGTGCTCTTACCTTTTGATGTTTAATCCGGTTGTGCTCTTGCTGCATCTCGAAGTTAACCTTGAGCTGCTCTAATCCCAGATCAAACATTTTGATACAATACGCGGAGTCGATCTCATAAAGATCCTCCGCCCTCTTTAGAACTATTTCACGGGTTATTTCTATATACTTCAGCTCCAGTTCCAGCATCGACTGCTTCTGTTCCTTGCCTGGAAAGGGAATTAATTTGGAAAACGTTACACGAAACAAAAAAATCTTAATCATACATCTTAATTAAACTATATTATTAAGAAACTGTTTCCAACATTAAAATATTCAAAACCCCTAAAAGAAATCAAGTCATCCTAAAATGGTGATCAGTACAGATCAAGACAGCTAGAGTAAAAATTTGTTTCTCCAAGCAACTCTATCATCGGCTAATATCTTAAGCTTATTAAGATCATTCAAAGAGTTAAGTTTTAAATTTTTAATCCTCTACGGGTCAAATTAAACTATATAATACATTTGTTTGAGTAAACATTTGCTGGCACTTCGGGTCAGTCCCCAACAGTCTTATGGTTAAAAAGTAAGATTTTGCTTTACTTACTAAGCTGTTCGTGTAGCTCACAATGTCTTAATCTTTGGTCATTCTCAGTTTCAATAGGTTCCAGTTTTGGTTCAATTCCACGCTTCATAGACCTGAATAAATTTACCATATAAAGTAAAACAGTTTTACAGTAAAATCTCGTTATTTCCTTCCCTTCAAATTTCCCTTCAAAATTTATATTACTAGAAACATTCATTTTGAAAAAATTTAATTTTTCCTTGTGGCGGAAAGCCCTTTCTAGTTTCTTACCGTCTTGTTACTTTGGCCTGCTTAGCGTGCTCCTTCAGCAACTTTTCTTTCTCTTTCTTCAGAGTTTCCACTAAAGAATTGAACTCAGCGCCATGCTCTTTTTCTTTCTTTTCTAACTCCTTTTTCCTGGAAACACAAATAGTAAATCACAAGATGAAGAAATGTTGATGAAGCCATCCAGGTAATTGTGGTATCAGAAGTAGAAATCTGCCATAAAACATGGTTTGTACGTTCTCAGGAACTGGAAAAAATAAATTTACTTTTACGAAATGTTGGAGAGCTTTACCTGTCTTTGTGAGTTTTATCGAGGATTTGGTTGCAAGCCTTGAGGATACCATCCGCTTCAGATCTCTGGGACTTGATAAGGTCGTCTCGCTCAGCCTTCCACTTTCCCATCATCTTCTTCTGATCCTTGAGCTCTGTCTTTCTCAGCAAGTTGTATTCCTTTTCTACTTCTTTCCTGTGACAAATTGTAAGCATAACTAAACAGTGTCTCTAACTATACGCTATACGGTTGTATAAAGTATACAGTTTTCAATTTTCATTAGAAAGTGGTATAATATATGTAATCTCAACTTGGCACGATTCCAAGATTCCACATACCTGAGCTTGTAGACACGTTGAGCGTAAGTAGTTTTACTTTCGTCTCTGATGCTAATCAGATCCTCAGTGTGTCTTACCAGCTCCTCCCCGTCTATCACAAACTTACGAGATCTTGTCCTTCTGTACATCTGCGGGAATATTGTTACTATGGTTACTAACTAGTTACCATGGTTACTAACTAGTTGCCATGGTTACTTACTAGTTACCATGGCAACTAGTTACCATGGTTACTAACTAGTTACCATGTTAGTAACTAGTTACCATGGTTAGTAACTAGTTACCATGGTAGCTATGATTTCTAATTAGTCAAGTCTCCTCGGCAGGAATATCTTGTGAGACGAATGTTGTAAAAGTTATCATATTATATATTTAGATAGATTCACTATTCAGTTACATATTACATTTTAAAATTGTTAATACCGATAAATATTAATTTGGACAGACAGTAGTTTGTTTATAATCAATATATATATATTAACATGATTAAGTTAATTAAAGCAAGGAATGTAAAATAATAACGCTATCTACTAACTAACTAGTTACCATGGTTACTAACAAACGCTACCTTTTCAGTGTCATTATTCTGGGGTATCTGTAGGTAGGTAAGACTAGAGTTGAGATTAAGTTCGGAGTTCTGCTTGAACATCCCCACCTGCTCCTCCAAGCGTGGACCTTCTGTCTGCAAATTGCGGTAAGATAAGTAAGGGGATTTCTGAGGGAACCCGAACGTTGGGCTGAACCGCATGTTCCTGGAACGTTGCGGTAGTGCGGACATGGAGTTGAACCGCGGGAGGGGCGAGGGGTTGTAGGAGGGGTGGGTGGAGTCGGTTACAGTGTAACGTCGCCGGTCGGTAGTCAGTCCGCGGTTCTGTAATGTAACTTGTTGTCAGGTCTAATTACCACATTACACTAGTGTTAGTGGTACCACATTAGTGTTGTCATGTCTAATTACCAGTCATTATTACAAATAACCTTAGTTAACAGTACCAGTCAGTCAGCCACAGAATCAACATATGATCATCCAAACCAGTGTAATATCACTTTCAGAGCATAAAAGCTGGGAACTGATCAATTGCTCGAACAAATGCAAACTTAAAACGACAAACTGACTGTGCACAAGTCAACACAATTAAGCTAATTTCGCTATCTTAATACATTATTGGGTTACGTGGCCATGTCGTAGACGGTGAACTTACTGTTAATAACTTAAGCACTTTTTCCTTGTCATATTTCAGATGAACAGAATAATTATGAATTTCTATTAAATGAGCTAATAGCTTGCTCTAATAACAGAGTGTAGTTATTATCCTTAAACTACAATAACAGAGTGTAGTTATTATCCTTAAACTACAATAACAGAGTGCAGTTATTATCCTTAAACTACAATAACAGAGTGCAGTTATTATCCTTAAACTACAATAACAGAGTGCAGTTATTATCCTTAAACTACAATAACAGAGTGTAGTTATTATCCTTAAACTACAATAACAGAGTGTAGTTATTATCCTTAAACTACAATAACAGAGTGCAGTTATTATCCTTAAACTACAATAACAGAGTGTAGTTATCATCCTTAAACTACAATAACAGAGTGTAGTTATTATCCTTAAACTACAATAACAGAGTGTAGTTATTATCCTTAAACTACAATAACAGAGTGTAGTTATTATCCTTAAACTACAATAACAGAGTGTAGTTATTATCCTTAAACTACAATAACAGAGCGTAGTTATTATCCTTAAACTACAATAACAGAGTGTAGTTATTATCCTTAAACTACAATAACAGAGTGTAGTTATTATCCTTAAACTACAATAACAGAGTGTAGTTATTATCCTTAAACTACAATAACAGAGTGTAGTTATTATCCTTAAACTACAATAACAGAGTGTAGTTATTATCCTTAAACTACAATAACAGAGTGCAGTTATTATCCTTAAACTACAATAACAGAGCGTAGTTATTATCCTTAAACTGCAATAACAGAGTGTAGTTATTATCCTTAAACTACAATAACAGAGTGTAGTTATTATCCTTAAACTACAATAACAGAGTGTAGTTATTATCCTTAAACTACAATAACAGAGTGTAGTTATTATCCTTAAACTACAATAACAGAGTGTAGTTATTATCCTTAAACTACAATAACAGAGCGTAGTTATTATCCTTAAACTACAATAACAGAGTGTAGTTATTATCCTTAAACTACAATAACAGAGTGTAGTTATTATCCTTAAACTACAATAACAGAGTGTAGTTATTATCCTTAAACTACAATAACAGAGTGTAGTTATTATCCTTAAACTACAATAACAGAGTGTAGTTATTATCCTTAAACTACAATAACAGAGTGCAGTTATTCCTTAAACTACAATAACAGAGTGTAGTTATTATCCTTAAACTACAATAACAGAGTGTAGTTATTATCCTTAAACTACAATAACAGAGTGTAGTTATTAACTACAATATCTAAACTACAATATCTAAAGGTCTATTTGAGGCCTTTTACCCGAAGCCGCTGTGCATTAGGTTACTGCTTAGCTAACTGGTTACTGCTGGGTTGGTACTCTGGATAGGGCTAGAGCTTTGGTTATGTAATCAAGAGGCTTGCATTATGTCTAAGTGTTGAAGTTATAAGCGTAGGATGATAAATGACTAATGTCTAACACTGAGTTCCTGACAATTCAATATAATTTATATTCTAATTATATATACATAGAAATTTCATCATAGAGATTTTTATTTGTTCGTTTGAAATGTTGTAGGCTTGTTTATATGCAAGGTAGAGATTAATAATATTATTAGCAAATTCTTAATCTGAATTTAATTTGTAAGTCTGGTTACCGGAGACATCAATTATTTGATTACTCCCCGCAATCAAAACTGGATTTGGTTTTACAGGACCTGTATTCGATTTTCAACTTATGTATTTTTGATAAAATTACAAATGTCAAAAGAAACCAATTTAAATTCACGTTTGACCAACTGTCTATTTCCAGTACAAGATTGGCTAGTGAAGCGAACACTTCCTTGTCTTTGACATTACTCTGATGCAGAGCTCTATTTTTTAGCCAATGATTTTTGGGGACAGGAATCTTGCTCTTTGATTTTAGACCGTACACAGCTGCAAAAGAATTATTATTACTCTGCCCAGACCCCTGACTAGGACGGACGTAAGTCTATTTTGGGCGGAAGGAAATTACGTCAAGGATGTTCAGACGGAATGTTTTAAAGAATATATATGTATCTGTATTAAAAGTCCAAGCTAGTTTCAACGCAAGTTTACTTTTCTACAATCAGAGTAATTTACCAGTTTTAAAGAATATGAATTGATTAATCTGTATTTATAAGTCACAAAAGCAAGTTACTTTTCTACAATCAGAGTACTATACCAGTTTTCTGCAACAGATCTGACTTCCCCAACATCCAGTAGCCTTATTTTGAACCATACCAGCCCGCACCTGTCCCAGTTTCTTGAACATTCCTCGACAAAACACCTGAGTTTGGTCCAATCAGGACGTAAGAACGAGCTTTCACGATGATTAAGAGAACCCAATCACAAAAACCCATACTGCTACTACTCTTCTCGTGTGCGAGATCACTGAATGTTGACTGTGAAAAACATTGAAATATTGGAGCTTTCCCGAGTGTGATTCATTTACCAATGACAGTGTAATTTTAGATGTAACATTACACAACTCTACATACAACAAATGTGGCCTGTGTTTTGAGTACCTGGTTGATCTTACCGCTTTCCATCTCCGTTTTTTAACAGGCGTTACTTCAGAGGAAGGGGGAGATAGTTTTAACATTATAGACTACCGCCTGAAATAAGCACTTCTAATTACTTGTCCGGTCACGTGGAGATCTAGCATTCTCAAAAGAATCTATCCGATTCTCAAAAAGTTATGGCTGGGCCCAAATATTATACTAATTTAAAATTCCTGATTCAAAATATCACTACATATCACTAAATATCACTAAATATCCACTAAATATCACTAATAACACTAAATATCACTAACAATCACTAAATATCACTTAATATTCACTAACATATCACTAAATATCATAAAATATCACTAACTATCACTAAAATATCCACTAACTTCACTAAATATCACTAAACTATCACTACTATCCACTAACTTCACTAAATATCACAACTGTGATTGAGTAAGAATAGCAGTTAATCTCCAGGACTTACTTGAGAGATGATAGTCCGTCTTGGCATCCGTCCAGATTACCCTCACCGTCACACACGTGACAATAACACGATGATACAGTAGCTGAAGCAGGGATGTGGACGAGGGAGTCGCTCAGGTAGATGTTGTGGGAGGACAGTTGTCTCCAGTGCTGTAATATGAGTTGTTTAAGGAGCGTGTGTAATACTAGTTGGAGATTGGAGGAGCAATGCTGGTACACTGGTTTAATATAATTTAAACTTCCAGTATTAAGTTTAGTAAGGCAGATTGTATAGTTGATTTAAAGAGGAAAATGCCTGCACCATATTAATTTAGACTTTTAGATTCTTAGCGTAAAAATCAGCGGTAAAATTCTGCTGTGACTATGTAAACTTTTGTTATTTTAGTTATATTTTAGTTATTTTAGCGTATTGAAAAAAGACGATGTTCCGTTATGTGCACCCATTTACTCAACCTCAAAGTTTAACGGTATCCTCAAGGTCGAAAGGTGCACCCCGCGTGTCACAGTTTCTACTCAATTTTATAACATTATTAGACAAATGTAAAAAATAACTCGTTACAATCTTAATAGATCTTTAGCATAATCTGTTGCAGGTGCTGCGACTTACAGTAATTTAAGTGCAGAATAGGCACCACAAAAACGTAGTAGTTCCGAACTAAGGCAGTTCATGGAGAAGGACTGGGGTTAGACTGGGTCCTCGGAAGTGCACATTTTGAGTGTTAGGCTGCACATACGGGACATTCAGTCTACTTTTAGTTTAAAACAGATGCTATCCGAGTAAAAGGTATGCACAAAGCGATTTTGAATGTACCTTATAATGCGTCAACTAACCTAAATAATCAAATTTGTCGAAACTTTCAATTATTCATAATATAAATAATTATTTTACGTCACTTTATCTTTTTCGAATAACTGCTTCAGGTTTAAGATCAAAATATTGTTGAATACTCTTCAAATCGAATTATAACACCAATGTAATGTGTAAAAAACAATTTTAGTTAACATTTTCTCTCTCTTTTCGTGACCAGATTATTTATTTTATGAAATCTAGATAATTTCTCGAATTAAAAGTAACAAACGCAACTACTAATATTAATAAGTATGAGAGCAAGCTTTTTTAGTTTTTTAACATTTTTTATAGCTGTTTGGTCCTTGAAAACAGTAAATTCTCGAATAAACGTGACATACGCAACTATAATATATAATTAAGTACTAAGAGCATGCTTTTTTTGTTTTTAAACATTTTTAATACGCTGTTTTGTCCAAACAGTTAAATTCTTCGAATTAACGTAACCATACGCAAGTTTACTAATATATAATTAAGTACTAAGAGCAAGCTTTTTTTTGTTTTTTTAACATTTTTAATAGCTGATTTTGTCTTGAACCCAGTAAATTTTCGAATAAAATAACATACGCAATACTAATATATAAATAAGAACTAAGAGTAAGCTTTTTTGTTTTTAAACATTTTTAATGCTTTTTTGTCCATAAAGAAAAAAAATACCGATCAATGAAAAAGAAGCAATAATTTCGGGTCTCGGGTTTCTAGAAATCAGAGTTTTGACTGTACACATTACGTGCTTATGTAATATTTAATTGTAATGTTATGTTCACACTACTTTTGGGGAAAGAGTGCTGTGGTTGATGGGGGATTGCGAAATACATTTTCATCTTTGCTAAAACAAAAGAGTCAAATAAATATGTCGCACACCATCATCTTTGGGACTTGAGAGGTCGTTTACATTATGGTTTGTTTACAATCTAGGGGAGGCCGGCGGAGATTTGGAAATGCTTGCTATTTCTACACATTAGTTATGTGTACAAAGTGGATTAATTTGATGGGCGGGGGATCTAAAATAGCCAAATCTGGCTTGCGTAATATGTGAACGATCTCCTGGACAACACAAGAATTTGTAGGTAAAAATAAAAGAGTCCGAGGTTTTCTAAACGTTGTTAGGACCCCTTGCTAATATCTAAGATCAATTTGCAGTAAAAAAGGGCTCATTTTTTCTTAGATGAACGATGAAATTGTTGTTGACAACTTAAGTAGAGTCAACGGGACTTCCAAATCCTCATTTTGAATTTGTCAATATCTACATATTCTACACATTCTTATTGGTCCAAGTATTGCGGGGACATAGTTCCCTAGTGTTTAAGTGTTATTAATTTCTCGTCAAGCCACAGAAGAAGTTACACGGCGGAGAAGGCTTCTTATCATTTTCTTTCCCCTTTCTATCTCACTTAGTTTATTCATTTCCTGGTACTCTTGACATAAATTTTTGCAGAGAATTCCAAAACACGTTTTAAATTGAGGGAATGAGTTCTAGTTTTTCGTAGGTCTCGTCAATGGCCCTTCCATGGTCCTTTTGAAACTTCTGTTCCCTCCCGTATTGTTTCCAATGTTGTAGCTTCACGTTCAGTATTACGTCTTTTCATCAGCTGTCTTCACCAAAGCGTCGAAGTGTTCGGTTGTTATTTTAATTTCAACGAGCATGCTTGTGGTTATGTCCTCCTAAGATTGGCACTAGTTGCCTTCAACAACTCCAGCACTAGTTCCAAAAGCTATTGCAGCTGCAGCAAGTCCGATAGGTTCCAAAAGTTGGCTGCACCCACAACGCGCAACGCAAACACATTGTTGTCCTCCATAAGCTATCCTCGTTGTATTTGGCATAGGAGCTATTTTTCTTGCTCGTATCCACGGCTGATTTTCTCTTGCACCAAATTTTTAAGCTGCCAGGGGAATTGACGCCGCAAGTAATGAGTCTGTAGCTGTGGATATTCTTTCGCAAGCAGCTTTAAATCCGGTGAACATTGTCTTCTAATTTTTCAGGTACAATTTCAACGTATTTCTAAATCTAACATGGTCTGAGTCTTGCATCACGACTGCGAATTTGCCACTGATGATAAGACCGACTTAACGAGCCCACTCAGGGGTAGCACGGCTTCATTTCGAAGACTTTATACGAGTTCAAAATCTTTAGCTGCTTTGATAAGACACTCCAGATTCTTCTTTTCCTTTTTCGTCTAAAATGAGATTCACCTGCAAAAAGGATTCTATGGCTATTGAAAATTTTAGCTGCGAAGTCACTTCACTTTCTTAAGTGTGATATAACTTCAACATTAATGTCATGCCATACTTTAACTCTAAGTGGATCTGAGCTACAAGCTTTGAACAGGAACTTGTAATGGGTGCCATCATTCTTTGCTCATGTCGAATTCATTCGTGGAATAGGGAGGTATTACTTATTAGCAGCATAAACACTAGAATCTAGTGCATATTGCATAGGTGTTTCGTGCACACTTTTACGCACTTTCCCAAAACACACAGCACTATGCGCACCGAAACGACTCAAATTTCAGCACTTTTAGGTATCTTTAGGACTTTTTACCAAATAAAACTTATACAGTACACATTACTATCGGCCAGAATAATACTTATTTGTGTAATAGTGGACCAAAAGTGTCAAGTGCAAGGTATCATACCCTATGTTTTTGGTATGAGAACTCCATATAAAATGGGGCCCTCTTGAAAAATGTCCTAAAAGTCGATGCAAACTTATGAGCGGCTAAAACATAAGAACGTTAAATTGGTCATCAGTGCAAAATTGAACGGCTAAAAGTTAGAAGTTTTATATTAGGGTATGATTGCCTCGATCGAATCCCTCGCCCCACAGATTGACATTGAGCCACTTCATATTGTCGTTTTTTAAACATTTAATCCACACGATGTGTTGCAGTTCTTTATAATGTAGCTCCGCCAGCCAGTATGTGGAGACTCACAATATGTGATCCATAATACCTTGTTTCTTGCGGGGGAAAATATGCAAATTATCAGCTCTCAGTGCGAAAGAGATTTAGTGCCTATAATTTTTAATTAATAGTAATAAAAGTAGTACATGGACACGTTAAGTTTTAGACGCTTATTATTTATATTGGGTTTGTCATCCACGAAAGTTTATGGTTGTGATTTGGGTGTCGGAACTTAACGTGCATTGGGCATGACCCTAAACAAATTTCCGTTTTGTTTAATGCGTTTAGTTAATCGGTTTGGCTGAATACAACCAGGTGAATGTCTCATCTAATAAAACGTTATTTCTATGCTGTAAGGCGTTTTAATTAATCGTATCTGCTGATTATGACCTGGTGAATGTATTTACTAATAAAACGTTTGTTGTCGCTAGGAATGAGCGAGATGATTATCTTATTTTAATTCGGATCTGTAACTTCTTCCCCCAATGTGCCATGTGGTATGAACAGTGGTGTGGTAGTGGGAGTGAAGAATTAGATTGGCAGTTTAACTTGGGGTTGGTTCCTCTAATATTAGGAGACTCCCCTAAAGATTGGCTATTCTGTAGTATCTTTATCTATATTATTTCTTAAATCTAAATCCTCATGGACGATGTCTGAGACTTTCTGTTGGATCGGTTACTATTAAAAAGTGGTATGGGTGATTCTTTATCTGTTGAGGTGAATGTGGAATGGGATGAAAATCGGTGGTTTTTTTAACCCTTAATGTTTAACCTCAATTTGATCTCGATTTGAAAACTGTGGCGCTCATCTGAGTGAAATGTCTATTATTATTATAAAACAGGATCTTACCGACAAAAATGATTCTTAAAAATACCTTAATGCGGTAAACTGTACCCTTGAAAAAGATTTTCCCAACATCTGTTGCATGCAGCTATATCTCTAATTTCGTTCAATTCATGCAAGTTGTCCATTTGCAAATTTCTACTACTTAAATCACTTCTTAAAACCGATAACAAGTTCATTCTAGGTCTCCCCAATCTACCAATGAATAAATTATCTGATTCAATAGCAAAAGAGAGAGCCGTTTGGGCTGGGGTGTTCTCCATACTCCTGAGAATGTGTCCAAACATCTTCCACCGCTGGTGTTCAATACGCTTGGATAACTTTTCAACTTTGCACCTTTCATACAATGCTTTGTTGCTTATCATACCTTTAGGCCATTTGATGTTTAAAATGGACCTGAGGTGTCTACGATGGAGTGTGTCCATTTTCTCCATGGTTGCTTTCTTAGGACTCCAACTATTTGAGTTGTAAATCAATACAGATACAACTTGAGCATCATATAACCTCAGCTTTCTTTCAAGGGAAATTTTCTTACCGGACAACCATACTTTTCCAAAGTTCTTAAAAGCAATCTCAGCTAGGATTCTCCTTCTTTGAATGTCCTTCTCAGTACCGAGTAAGGAACCTAGTGACTTGTTACTTCGCCATGGTTCGTTATTAGCTAATGGCTGACCGTTTGTGTCTTTATCAGATTTTTTCGCCAGGTAGAAGGTACTGAATTCAGTTTTACTTTCATTTACTTGGAGGTTCCAGTCTTTGAGAATATCCTTCACTGTAGGAAGGAAAATTCTCAGTTTCTCGATGTCCTCATCAGCAAAGTCACAATCGTCTGAATATTCCCACTCAGTTGGAAAACCTAGTTTTGATACTGGTGGGTTTGGTCTCCCAGATACAGCTCTGAGGTGGTGTAAGGCTGCTGCAAGAATAAGTGTGAATAGCTTTCCAGATAAACTGTCACCTTGAAAGGCTCCGAGTAAACTTTCAAACTCTTCCGACAGTGAGGAGTTAACACGAACTCTAAGGAGAGTATTCGATAGAAGGTATTGAACTAAGCGAATGTCGTCCTCCGAACAACCAGCATCCTTCAAAACATTGATGATAGTGTCCCTTTTCACGGTATCAAAAGCTCTACTCATATCAATACCCATTTTGCTAAATGTCCATTTCTTCCTCATCACAACAGATATTAGCATTCTCTGAGCCCACACAATGTCAGAGCAGCTCCTACCTCTCTTGTAAGCACTCTGCCATGGCATGGTGTAGTTGTCAATTCTACTCTCAACCCGTTTTAAGGCAATTTGAGTGAGCATCTTCCTTGATCCGTTTAACAGTGTAAGTGGTCTAAGGCTTGTGAGGGGACCTTTAGGTTTACCGGGCTTCTGTAGAGGAGTCACAATACCTTGTCCTATTGAACTTATGTATTTTTTCCCACTAAATGACTCGTTAATTGCCTCAGCATACTTCTCAAAAGTGATTGGATGGGCGTACTTTATAAACCCCTCCGGGTTAGAATAAGATTCTGATAATCCCGGCTCCCGCTAGATAGATTATGATAATCCCGGCTCCCGCTGTTAGTTTTTTCCCGCTGAATAGATAACCCCGGCACAGCTTCTATAATCCCGCCCCGCTAATTTGGCTCAACAAGATTGGTTTTGTTTTGATATTCCATGAGAATTTCAACCGCGCACTGTCACGTGTTTTGATGACGTGTATCACGTGACTAACTACTACGGGGCGCATTGGTAAAAAATGTCACGTGACCTATGGCTTAACGTAAGAACTGTAAATACACTTGATCTACGTATCGGTCTTACTGCAGGCGCTGGCAAAACTCCAGCACACTGCTTATGGCTTACATTACTTAAACTCTTACATTACTTGGACCAGTTCCAGAAATTGTCTCGACGGTTACATTTGTCCGGTTAATTTTGTCGTAGCAATTGCCCTGTTTGATATAAGCCATGAATTATAGTCGTCTACTTTGATGAACTTCATGTCCATGACACGATATCATTATTAGCTCCACCTTTTATCGCTTGCCAGGCTTAACTCGACGCCCCTTATCGATATTCATTCAACGTTCTGACTGAGGAATAATGTTTAGATATAACGCCAATTTCAAATGTCATAGTACCTTAGTTGTATTTATTTGGTAGTATAATATACTCCCCAATTCCATTTCATATTTCCATACTGATCTCATATAGCTAGAATTATGAAATTTGTTGGTCCTAGCACTAACCCGGAGGGGTTTATAACACATAACACCGGCACGCTTAAGTTATATTAAAATAACCCCTCGTGCTGAAGCACGTCGGGATTATTTTCATAATAATCCCTCGTGCTTCGCACTCGAAATTATTATAAATTTTTCCCGCGCGTCGCGGGAAAAATTGAAATATAATCCCTGCGCATGCCGGGGTTATGTGTGTTATCAACTCATTCTGGAGATTATCTGGACCACTGGCACGGTTTGATTTGAGTTTACTTGCAGCAAGTTCAACTTCAACTGGTGTAATGGGGCTATCAAGTGGTTTTGGATCGCAGGTAAAAGGTTGCAGGCCAGCTTCAACTCCTTCTGTTAGTTGTTTTTCGAAGAAAGATTTCGCTGTGTTTGCTTTCCCTAAATCAGTACCAATAGGGTTGTTGTTGATATCATTGACCACTATGTTACCCGACTTTTTTATTCCAGCTAAAGATCTTGAAGCTTCAAACATCTTTCTAGCATCGTCAGTGTTATTTATTTCTTCTGCTAGAGCGTCAGCCTTCATGTTATTTATTTGCACAAGTCTCTTAGAAATGTCTAGTTTTCCAAAAGTATCATATAGTATTGTGGAACTTTAGTGCTGTTATTGAGGTTAAACTTGATGAAGTCTCTCCTCGTGTACAGTATATAAGTTTATTGATTATTAAAATACTTATATTTCATGTTTTATTCCCGGACGGCTCCAACTAAATTCAAACTAATTCCACAAAGAATTTTCCACATTTCCCAGCACCTTGACTTCACACCATCTAGTAGCAATTCCCTCACGAATCCATTCACACAATCCTTTTAATGTTTAAGTAACAACCTTAACCTTTCACAGTCCTACTCCTAACACTACCTTAGCACCAACCAATCAAATTTGAGAGACACGAATCGCATGACACTCCTTTCACCTCCATAGCTGTCCTTGGCTCCGATTGTAAATATGTCTAATTTATCCGATTTGTAACATACGCATGATTTTGGATTCAGTTCCAGTTTTACTAAAAATCCTTTTCTGACTTTTTTTCCTTAACGTCAAACTAATTTAGCGTGTTTCAGGGGATAGGACGCAGCCGGATTTTGCCGGATTTTGCCGGATCTTGCCGGAAAATTTAAATTTATACTCTTATTTTTATACTTTTGTCATTATCATGTGGAATTACACAATAAAATAGTGTCTAACTCTTTCGTATCACTTATATGTTTTAAATATCCCCCTCCTAGTGTCTAACTAACAGTTTTCATGCCCGACCTATATTTTCGATTAATTCTTAGCTAAGTTCAATTTTCAACCAAATAAAATTCATAATTATGATAGGCATGCAGCAAGTTCATTAAAATTTCTTAATAGTATGATAATTTCACAATTGTAATAGTAGGTAACACGACTCCTGTCCGACAGCGACATTTGTCCGACAGCGACATCTGTCCGACTCAGGGTACCAGAAAAAAACGACATCTGTCCGAAATTGTGATCTGATTTCAATGCGACATATTTCCAATTAGTGACATGATCTGAACTTTTACATGCTAATTTGTATACGTAACATTTCCGATTTGAGATATGATCTGAGCCAAAGTTTACGCCTGCCTGCCTGCCTAGATCGATCCAGATGAAATCTGGAACGAGTTTCGTGTCAACGCTTCTCTCCATTTATATCTATCACACAGAGTTAAACGGAATTAAACGGAATTAAACGGAATTAAACGGAATTAAACGGAATTAAACGTAAAGTTGTCGGAGATGGCATTAACACCATCGTCTCAACTATATACATGAATGAATAACATACCTGGAGTAAGTAAAATTCGTATTTCAAGAATCATGAAAATTTAAAACAAAAGCACTTAAAATTTAACTCCCGTACAAACAACCGAAATAGAAACAATTGCTGAAATAATAATTTAACATAAGAGGAAGGTAGTAAAAGGCAAATTCAATGATCACTAAACTGCGATATCAGTATTCGAGTCCACAAAAGACACATTCATACTCGAATAGTCCTCCTGGAAACAGTAATCACTAGTGTTCCATGCTCGTACAACAGATCGTGAAATCTGCATAATGATGGTTGATCTGTATTATGTCTGTTGAGTTGGTAGTCCTGATGGGGTGACAGGCAGTATTGGCGTCTTTTTCGGGTTCCTGATGCGGTGACAGTTGCAAAGGAATTTGCCCAGTTCTTGCACATCGGCAGAATTTATGATAGTTCCCTATATATACTGAGCAAACGCAGCTGGTCAGGTTCCATTCCAGTGTCTTCAAGTAAAACGTCCGGGAAGGTCTTATGTGGTCGTCCTCGATAACGCTGGCCATAGGATGGTTGCCAAAAAGAAGTTGTTGAGCAGCTTGGTCCTGAAGACGGTATGTTAATTGTTACGTGGTTATTGAGTTATTGACTATTTAGCTTGTTTAATGTACACGCGCCTATCAAAATAGGATTTCTATCGTGGGAATATCTACAGAAGTAGGGAACTATAATTATTATGAGAATCCCCGGCACTGGTCATATCCGGCGGTTTTTACATTTACGAGCCGACTAGCTCCTAGACAGCTATTGACAGCCTGACAGGGTGGCTCACTCAAATTTGAACTGTGACACGTCCAAATTCAACGTTAAATCGAGGTTTTAATGTAGTAACCAGATTCATTATAAATAACATTTATGTCATGATAATCAATATGACCATCAGCTGGTTAGGTTAGCATGTAAAAAATATGTAATAAATTGTTGAACGTGGGTATGGTGACCAGCCTCACAGAGCTAGCTCTATGAGGCTGGTAAACAACCCAGCAGGACAATGAGAAAATGTAAAACATGCCCCGTCAATAGGTCTCAGCGAATCTTAACATTTAGTTGAAATATTCTCCACAGCATCACGAGGCTATTGTTAACATTAAGAATATAAACATTGTGTGTAACAGAATAATTTGATGAACGTGTGTATAAACTCTTCACACCACTTTATATTTGCCGTACGGATGCCTATTATGGATCGCTTCCCCCTGGTTTAAAGTTCTGGCTGAAGATTGATTAAAAATGGAATTTTCAACTAAAACGATAAATGAAGAAGGAATTTAATCAGGCAACTAAGAATTTGCTTCATGGGTCATGCGCTGACATGCACCCTGTTAGCGTTCACGTGCACCCTCTCAGTTTCTAGTCATTTGATCTCATGCAGAATATGCAGCAGGGGTGCCGACCAGAGTAACAGGTCACTGATAGCAAGTTAGAACAGTGATTATTGAACGTATGATAGATAACAGCGGTGGATCTAAATGTCACCAGGTCAAACCCGGGGTGGACTATTTACATTGAGCGTCCCAACGGCTCCTGACACATGGTAGAACCTGGTAAGCTCGGGAAATTGAGTCAAACTTAACCCTAAATGTCATGTCCTCCTGTAGGTTTTACCTTATGAATTTATAAAATTCACTAATGTAGTTATACTTATAGTATTGTGACACTTGAAAGCCACGAATTTTAGTTGCTCAAAGCTTTCAAGATTAGGGTTGCCAACCGATATTATCGACGATAATTTCCCAAAAATCATCATCGATTATCGCGACAATTTTCGAGAATTATCGCGATAATCAACAAATTTGTATTATGGTAAAATGGCCAACATTTAACATATTTTTCGAATCTATTTCTCAGTTTGTTAAGTTAAGACCCAGTGCTAGTTTGATAGTATGTGTGTCTGAGCCACACTTATATTAAGCTAGCTTCATATTTAAGACTCAGAGTCAAGCCTCGGATTTAAACCTCAGCTTCAAGCTTCAGCTTCAAGCCTCAGATTCAAGCTTCAGATTCAAGTCACGCGCCTTATAGCGCGCGACCGCCGAAGGCGGCCAAGGATTCTATTCTACTTGTGAAACAAGCGCGTCACTCAGTACCTACGCGTATACACATGGCTATGTGTACCTCAAAGTCAAAGATCTGTGTGGAACTGGCTGACTCCTCTAGATGAGGGGGTAATTAACCGGGTACAGTTTGTTGACTCCTCTAGATGAGGGGGTACTTAACCGGGTACAGTTTGTTGACTCCTCACTTATCTTAGCAGACATGTTAGCTACAACTACTCTACTATTGGTGGTCGGATTGGTCCTGGGTGACGTTGGACACAACCAGATCCTGGATTTCCCTGGACCCGCTAACACAGAGAACTACATCAGCTACAACCCTGATTTACCCGCTCTTACTGGACTGACAGTTTGTGCCTGGCAGCAGAAGAGTTACTCTGATAACAAGAGGTATTGGTTCAGCTACGCTGTACCGGGGACTGACAACGAGATTATCCTAGGAGAGAGGGAAACAGGACTTTACGTATTCTACCTGGGAGGAAGTAGTTTTGGAGCTAATGTCGGGGCACCAGAGAATCAGTGGGTACATGTGTGTGCAGCCTGGGACTCAGAGAGTGGAGTAGCTGTCATCAGTGTCAACGGAGAAGCAGCAGCGACTCAAGAAGGTTTCAAGCAGGGTGGAAGTGTGAGGGCAGGAGGAAATCTTGTTATTGGACAGGAGCAGGACAGTGTTGGAGGGAGGTTCGACGCTAGCCAGGCATTCCTGGGCAGACTGTACAACATCAACGTCTGGGACTACGCACTCAACTCCACCGATGTGGCCTTCCTTTACGAGACTGGTTTCTGTGGGTACGGCTCAACTGAGGCCGACCCTATCATCTCTTACGCTGACCTGCTCGCACAAGATTTGAGTGGAGCCACATCCGTCATTGATGGACCCTGCATTGACCTGGAGGACCCCAGCAACGGACAGGTTCTGAGGTTCCCTCCTCAGTCGCAGGCCAGCACAGCTAATTTCCTGCAGTTCTCACCTGATCTTGGAAGTGAAGATTTCGGAGAGTTCTCCATCTGCACCTGGTTCTTCAAGACATACGGGGACCAGTCTAGGTACTTCCTGAGCTACGCAGTTTCAGGTGAACATAATGCCATCATCCTGGGTGAACAGGCCACACTGGGCTTCTGGGTAAACGGAGCTAAAATGCTGACAGACATCCTCCTGGAACAACAAAGGTGGTATCACCTGTGTTTCACACGGGGTAGTGACAGTGGGGCTGTGATCTATGTGGACGGAGCCAAAGTTAAAGAGGGTGACTTAGCAAAGGGTGGTTTGACAAAGACTGGTGGAGTAATGAACATTGGGCAAGAACAGGACTCTATGGGAGGTAGTTACGATGCTAGCCAGGCCTTTGCCGGGAGTCTCTACAACCTGAACATGTTTAACGTGAAGCTGACTGACGATCAGGTTGCTCAGATCTACGCTAACGGCACTTTCTGTGAAATGGTACCTGACGAGATGTGGGAGAGTGAGAGTGTAATGATAGCCTACAAGGACCTGTTCAGTCTCATTCCTGATGGAGATGTGATGTTTGATAGTGGAGAGACATCCTGGAGACACGGTGCTATCCACTGTCAGGGTACAGATCTAGACGAGGACGCACATAAGCCTGACTGCTGGCAGACAGAGGAGGGACGCAGGTACAAGGATAACTCAAACTTGGGATATATCGTTGGAGACGTGGACGCTGCCAAGGCTGCTTGCTACGCGTACGGTAAATGTAAAACTCTTACCTGTTACATGAAGAATGGGGAACAGAGATGTGATATGTTGTCCACATATGAGAAACAGAAGAAGGACAACAAGAAAACCTCTTATACATACAGATGTTAAATAACTTGGACGCTTAACTTTTCTTTAATTCTGTAGAATATTTTCCTTTCAATTTGACTCTTGATAGAAGTAAAAAGATTTAAAAGTGTATTTAATATGATAGACGTATTTTTATTCGGCATTACGTGATTTATTTGTTAATTGTTTCTAACGACCATTTCTGGCTGCACGACGACCAGGCCCCCTTATCATTAGGGGTCCCACGGAGATCAGATCATGTAAATTAGTGACGTATGATTAGTGATGTGATCCATCAGTATAATTTAACTGACCTATTATAAATGGACTAGATACAGGGTAGAGTGGCGAAAGATAATGTATTTGCAGAGCAAAGTTAGATGTCTTATATTCGTTAACTAGCTTGTTAGGATAGTTAGATTAGATTAGCTATACTGAGCAGAGTTTGCTTTTAGATCGGCCCTTCAAGACAATCTCGAAAGTTCCTTCCAGCTCGCCAGAACGGAACTCGATGTTCCACTTCGGAATTCGAATCTCTACTCATATATATAATGTTATTAGTTCACTTGTGTTAATACTTTACCATACTACACGTAATCAAACAAATAAACCCTGTTTACAATGAGATAACATCACGTGATCGAATCACGTGTTTTGATAACAAAGCTAGAGACTAAGGGGTATGGAGAACATTGCTTTTCGTGTGTTTTATAGACTGACCATGAGTTCCTTTACACAAAATGTACTACTAGCCTTAACTATAATTCTAAAGATTATCGACCGAGGGCTCGTCGTCAGAGTATAAAGCTGACACTCCTGATCACTACGTTCATAGAAATATTTCCTTTACCCTCATGAGCTGTTGTCCGTATATAATATATATTGTCTTAACAATTGATCAATGTTATCATGGTTCCAAATCTCATGATTCAATTTCACTTTAAAAATTAACTCCTAACTAACCTTATGCCTAACTAAACTTCTACCTAACACGCATTACACATTATTTTATTTCCTCATCTTTGCCTTTGTTGATTGTTCATCTTCTAGCCCAAAGTGGGTGAGTCATCGTCATGTGAATGTTTGCATAATGATCATTATGATCATTATGATCGTTATGAGCCTAACATATTTTTTCCGGTTTACTTGCTACACGATGCGATCAAAAGGGTATGTCAACGATTTACTTTACTGAAGTCCGTACCTTTTAGTAGTACCTACCTCTCGATATACGATTTTGGACTCTTAGCTTCCCCCTTGTAATGCGATCTCGGAATGCTGAAGTCCGTACCAAAAAACTGATATTTAGCAAAACAGATTTATTTGAAAACCACAAGAGTTGAAAGGCGTAAACACTTAACTTATGGTTTATGTAATAAGCGCCATGAGTTGGCATACTTTTTACACTCTTCAATGCACAGCACACAGGAGGCCCACATACAGCTCGACCTTATTGTGCTGCACGGTGAATTTGCGTTATTCACACTTAGAGGCAACTTTTGGTACTAAATTTATCAAAATCGGAGACAAAACATTCTATGCCGCAAATTCACCGTGCAGCACGATAAGGTCGAGCTGTATGTTGGCCTCCTGTGTGATGTGTATTGAAAATGAAGAGTGTAAAAAGAACGAAAATTGGGTAATTTCTTGCTTAAAAGCCTATAACTCCTAATATTATTTACATTTTTTTACAACATCGATACAAAATTTATCAAAATCGGAGGACAAACATTCTGTGCCAACTCATGGCGCTTATTAGTATTACATAGACTATTACCATCTTTTCCATTAGCGGATATTGCAGGTTATATAAAATGGAGTTTAGAACAGAAACGCGTTTCCTATACTATGAGTTTTTGATGGCGAAACATTCTTGCTGTAAAACTGAAATTACTACTCCCGGCTGAAAAGTAACTGGCTTTAGTCTAAATCTAATGAGCTGGGAACTGGTGGCTAAGGAGAAACCCTCCTTGCAGATTGAGATATCTTATTCTTAAGGTTACAATTATAGCTCTTAGCTTTTACTCTTAGTATAGCTCTTTAAAAATCGGGTTTTGAGCCGTAAGCATCAGTAGCGGGTTGTCATAGAATTATATTAGAGGTATACCCTGATTCAAGAGTAATATCATGGTTACGTTACTCAATATGTATTCTGGGCTACGTTTTGCGTTTGAGCTTACAATCTCCAGGTTAAACCCGTTAAAGTAGTATTAACAATTAACTTTAAGTACATTCTTACATTTCTTGTGCTTTATCCGATGTGGTATAGAATACATCGTAATCTAAAATAATCCAAATCTATAAACTGCAGTACGCAGTAAGTAACCGGGGCGCCATGTTACAAGGTTGTTAAATATGTCAAATTTTCGTGAAACAATACGACGTATTCGGTTCTAATAAAGAATACGTCGTAATACGCCGTAATACGGTAATTTCTATGGATTGTTAAATACGTCCACGAATACGCCATAACACATAATACGCCGTAATACGCTGATTTGTCAGAATTAAACATTACAGCTGCGCGCCACCCTCATCACTGATCATGCATTAAAGGAGTGCAGTTATACATGATAACTTAAATTTGTAATCAAATTTCATGGATAGTCCGATAAGCAAACAATTTTTTGCGCGCACGACACACCTTTTCGTAATACGTCAATTTTCGAGGATTAATACGTATTCGTATTCCAATACGTATTCCCTCCTAATAGTAATACGTATTTAACAACCTTGCCATGTTGTGCATATGCCTATGGTATGTAATTGTATAGTATGTATGTATGTTAGCAGCTCTCCCTGCGAGCGTGATAAATCACTCTACACTGAAACTTCGTGATTTTTGAAATTAATCTCGATTGATGTATTTTTGAGCGCTGATTCTAAATCACACCACATTGGGGTGATTCGGAATCAGCGTCCAAAACAACACCGAACTAAACTACTTTCAAACCTTCAGTGCTCAGAGCCTTTTCACAAGAATTTCTAAAAGATTTATAGTGGGAGTGGGACTGAGATCGCTTTCTAGCTTTTTGCATACGTGAGAGAACCGAGCATTAGGCTAGCAAGCTAAATACATATTTTTCGGGTAAAGCATTTGTAGGTTTACAACCTACTGGGACGCGCGCCGAGTTGGACTCGTCGACGGTCCAATATATGGAACAGATATTTTACGAGTATCACCCGTTAAGTAAAGCATTCAATCAAGAAATGAAGTTTGGACAAAGTAAAACATGAATTTGCAATAAGTTAGTTATAAGTTTTTGTAGGTTTACAACCTACCAGGACGCGCGCCGAGTTGGACTCGTCGACGGTTCCAATATATGGAACAGATATTTTACGAGAATCACCCGTTAAAGAAGTTCCCACCCTGACCTTCTATCATTTTTTATGGTAAGCCCTAACTATAGGGCCTGTCATGATATCATGGATCGCTTAAATTCCACCAGGATCTGGTAGTCCTCATAATTCTGCGGCCTCTATGTATCGGTATCTCGCAAAAACATCCCAGCACCTCCTCTGCAAGTGCATCCAGATCATGAGGTTCAGAATGAGGATAATTGGTAAACTCTACCTTAACAACAGTAAACTACAATCATATCTTCAAATTTGTGGAACAGTCGACAAGACTGGATAGGGAAAACCCTTTTGGGTAACCTCCTAGGATAGACGACCTATTTGGATAAGCATCTAGGACATACACCAAGGCTCATACACAATCATACACTAGACCCACACAGGACTATCTCAGATAGTGACACTTATTCAGGTGTGGACCATGCTCGGAAGTCCCTCGCCTGCCCGCCAAAGAAGAACATCTGAAGTGGGTTTGCTCTGAGCAAGGTAGTAACAGCTTCGAGACTCCAGAGGTCTGTTGCGTTGATATCTATTATTCTATGTTTTTGTATATACTTAGGGAGTCCTGGAGTGTGGCTAGCAGGAGTCACACTCTGTGGGCACGGCGAGAAGGCCTCCCTCTTCACTAGGAGGCCAGAAACCGTTGACCAAAACAGAGAGAGAGATCTCGCACAACTTCGTGAGACCCTTGTGAGCCTTTGGGTTAACGAAGTGTCGTATAGTACGTCACCTCAAGATCGGGCGACAGGGGGCTGACCAGGCCAGAACCCAATTGATTGGGTCTGAGGTCACGTGATTATGAGCCTGAGCCTTGAGGGCACGTAACTGTGACGTCACCAGAGCTTGTTCTTCGTTTCCCGCTAATTGGACCAGATGTGTTCACTGTTCCTGATCATCATAAGCATGAATCATCAATCAAGAGACAGGAGTGGCAAGATCAAAAGGAAATCATGGCACGTGCAGAATCGCGATTTTCCCCATTCTCTGCGACAAATCGCGATTTTTGACGTTTGCCGTGACAAACAGATCTTCGCGACAAATTGCGATTATTCCAGTTCTCTGAGGACCAAATTTGCGCATTCTCCTTTAAATCCGAGGGCAAAATATCACGTTCTTTATAATTATATTAAACTTATCACATCCACAGCCTTTCGAATGTAGCTGTACGGACCGAAAAAGTATTTTCGGCTCATAATGCCCAGGGAAGCATGAAACATAAACAAAAGTAGTTTCCAGAAAAAATTTGAAAATAATTTCGATTTAGAAAATTTTCGGTCCGAGTCATCCTCGATAGGTACAAGAAAAGTGCCTCAATATGTAAGTTACACTCCTTGTTTCTATATAAACATAACTTTCATAATAATTCTTACATAATAATTATAATAATTATCACTAGAAGCCGCACAGCGCTACTATCTTAATCTACACACAATCCAACTAGTAATTTGTATTACCCTAATCCTATGAACCAGTTCATCCCTAATTCATAATTCGTGTAACAACATCATGAAGAAGAGTCTGTTTAGATCTTAACACTTAATATTATCAATGTAGATGCTATTGTTTTGCCTAACGAGCCTGTCGCTCCCTAATCTATCTATACTCACAAGCTAGTTAACGAATTTATGACATCTAACTTAGCTATATATTATTAGGAATGGTCATCAAAATAAGTTTATAACAATGTCGATATTTTGGTAAATTTCTAGCTTCTGTCAGAAAATAAATTTACGGTTTCTATAATAGGGAGTACCTTACAAGACATATTTATAACGTACGAAATGTGGCGGTTTTCCGAAAATTTCG